ATATATACTTGATTCAGTTGAATAGCGACAAAACAAGATCACAATAATCACCCAGGACAAAAGATAAATAGATACCTGAAGAAAGAATGACAGAGCAGTCAAATCATTGCATCAAATATTGCACTATTTTGGTGAGACTGATCGTTTTTCTTTTTAAAGATCTTTGTCAAAGTGTTTAACCCTGAATAAATGTTTGTTTTCAAGTCAAATTTCAGAAATACCAACGATATTAACAATTTCTGACATATTGATTATCTTTTAGTCAATAGAATAATAAACAAAGTGATTAGAGTACTCTCTGCAGAGTACCAGTCCTTGATTGACTTTAAAATACTTGTCAATCTCTGTTTTTGTTTAATTTTGTATTCAAAAGTCGAATCACACTGAATTCCTCATTTTTCTTGAGGTTTTTTTTAGATTTTTACGAAAAACATGCTTTTCACTTTTGAATTTGTTTGGAAATAAGCCAAAATTGGGGGATGGGACAAATGCGACCTTTTTTTTGCTGGAAAAGGCCTTAGGAAAGGTCGTAGAGCTTCAAAAATGTTTCCAGATAAGGCAATCGTATGCTTAGATTCCGAATTTCGACAAATCAGACCTCGCTGACACGTCAAATTTGGGCTAAAAGGCAAAAACTGCAGAAAAGCGTTAAGTTGCGTAGTTTTTGCCTTTCAGCCCAAATTTGACGTGTCAGCGAGGTCTGATTTGTCGAAATTCGGAATCTAAGCATACGATTGCCTTATCTGGAAACATTTTTGAAGCTCTACGACCTTTCCTAAGGCCTTTTCCAGCAAAAAAAAGGTCGCATTTGTCCCATCCCCCAATTTTGGCTTATTTCCAAACAAATTCAAAAGTGAAAAGCATGTTTTTCGTAAAAATCTAAAAAAAACCTCAAGAAAAATGAAGAATTCAGTGTGATTCGACTTTTGAATACAAAATTAAACAAAACCAGAGATTGACAAGTATTTTAAAGTCCAGGTGCGCAAAAAAAAGGTCGCATTTGTCCCAAAATTGACTTAAAAAGATAGAAATTGAGCAAAAAAGAAAAGAAATAGAATAAGAAAGAAAAATAGAACAAAAAACAAAAAATTAGACAATAAACACTTTTTATTTAAAGAAAATGACAGATTCATTGATGAATTGGTTATTTTTCAATGCAAGTACCACTTAAGTCCTTCTAGCGTCAGGGGAAAAGAGACCCCTGTGGTGTAATGGTTAGCACCATTGTCCGGTAAACGATAGGTCGCCGGTTCGAGTCCGACCGTCGCACAGCTTTTTGATCTTCTCTGGTTTCAACTTACGAAAAGACTCTGGATAGCTTCAATCATTCAAAAAGTTCAGAAATCAAAGATTTCAAATGGTTTTGATGTGTGAAAAATATTTCTTTTTCCCCTTTCCCAAATCGTCACCCGAATCGGCTACAATGTTTGCACATTTTCTGAGTAAAAATAATCGCCCACGAGCTCTTTTTTTCCCCTTTTTCTCATTCAAAAGTCACATCAAACTTGTAAAATGAGCAGAAGAAAGGCAACTTTTGATTCTACAAAGAAAATGAAGAAAATTCTATTTGAAATGAAGCTTTTAACTGGTAGAAATCTGTAGAAAAATGTCAAAACTTCCATTTCCTCATTCAGCAAGGGAAATTGTTCAAATTGTCAATCTATCAATAGAAATTTATTGAATCTTATTGAAAAATTTTTTAGATAATTAAGCTCTAAAGTTTGTATTGAAAATCTCGTTTTTTTTTGTCAAACTTTAACGAGATCTAGAGTTATCTATATTTGACGTAGAAACTAAATGAGTAAAGCAATTTCCACTTTAAACTTTAGCTAACAGCGGCTCCCTTCAGCACCCTTTTACAGGTACTTGGGATCCCATTCCGACCGACGGAGAACCCGTCAAAAAATTCACAGGCCCAGAAAGGGAAGGGTCTGTGGTCGACCCCGTCCGATCTGCCAAGTTGAGCAACGTCGGCGCGGGTTAGTCGTGGGTTCGACTCCCATGGGCTCCCCTCCGAGCGCCCCAGCCCGGCCATCGGAGTATCATCGGCTACGACAACTACACTTCTGCCTCAGTAAATGTGGAAGCGGGTTGTGATCTGCGCTAAGTGCGAAGACAGATCAAATCATTATTATAACTTTAGCTAATACTTTGAGAGTTTTGTCTTGGTTTAGTTTTTTTTAGAAAAACAAATAAAATCTAAAGTATTTGTAAAGATTTTGCAAATTTTCTGTTGACAGTTTTTCTTGAAAGCGGGTTTCCAAAAATTATCATCAAAAAAAGTCTATGCAACTGCAGTACAGGTCGGTCATTTCACAGGGACTCCCCTCTAATACGTTGGAGGAGTTGAGTTGGGTTGTCGGGGTGTTAGAGATGGCGGGATATCAAAATGGATCCACTCTCTTTAACTAAACCCAAATTCTAGTCCACATCCGTTTATACCTAGGAACGAATAGTGCTTAAAATATCGTTTTTTTTTTTTTGTCAAACTTTAACGAGATCTAGAGTTGTCTATATTTGACGTAGAAGCTAAATAAATGAGTAAAGCGATTTTCACTTTAAACTTTAGCTAATACATTGAGAGTTTTGTCTTGGTTTAGACTTTTTTAGAAAAAAGAATAAAATCTAAAGTATTTGTAAAGATTTAGCAAATTTTCTGTTTACAGCTTTTCTTGAAAGCGGTTTAGGGTTTCCAAAAATTATCAAAAAGAAGTAAATCTCTCAAAAATTTTAAGCAAAATGATTAAATTTCGATTTCTAATTTCGAATTTCTTTATGTAAAAGCTTTCTGAAGCCATTTAAAGTCAGATTTTCAAAGCATTAGAAATTAGGAAGCCTTTGAATTCAAATTCAAATTCAAGAATTAGGAAGCCTTTAAATTTTAGGCACACCTATCAATAATAAGCGATTTTTATTTAATATTTATGTAATAAGAATTTGAAAACTGAAACCATAACAATTATAGTTTAATCTCAAAGAAAAAGCTGCAAAAAATGATAATGATGAAGCGTTTAATGCGCCAGAAAGGGTGTGTTTCGATTTAAGCGCAAACTACGTTCAAAGAACTTTTTCAAACTCTTTCACACTTCACACAAGAAACCAAAAACCTTCAAAAAGTTCTTGCTTGACTTATTAAAAGTAGGGTGTGGTTGACCTTGAAAAGCGTCTCGGTCACTCTATATAAACCGCGATTGAGCACCTGTTTATATCGAGGATTTGTGAATGGCTTAAGGGTTAGGCTAAAGATGTAAAAGGATTCAAAAGCTCAAGAACTTATAAGTTAAAACCAAAAACCTTCAAAAGTTCTTGCTTGACTTATTAAAAGTAGGTTTTCTGGCTTTACTTTGCTAAAAAAATCTCCTTTTATGGGTTGGAATTCAAAAGATTGGCGCAGGGCTTTGTATCCGCGATCTCTCGCTTACCAGGCGAACGCTCTACGAATGAGCTTGATATTTTTGGGTGTGCTTTAGTCAATTCGAAAGCTCTTGAGATTCTCGATTTTTTGAGCTATAGATCATGTCAATCCGATAGATTTAAAGCAATTTAGAAGTGTTTATAGTGTGACGGTTCGTCATTTTTGTAGTTTATCTTGCCCATGTCTAGTTGAGAGTCGGGCTATAAACCGGCGAACGCTCTACCAATGAGCTAGACGATCAATTGCTGTCAAGATAGGACCTTATCCTTTCATTTTCTTCCTGATATTAGCTTTAGAAAAAACGTTGAACAAACGTAGCCAGATCGTTTATTTTTCTTTTCTGAAAGCATTTTTTATTATTTCTTATAGTAAATCTTGTTCAAAATTCGTTTATTTAAACACTGAATATCTATGAAAATTTGATTTTCAAGCCAATGAATAGAATAGACCCGTTTAACTATTTCAAATCAGCAATATTCAAAGCGACAATGACAAAATATACAAAATATAGCGGATACAGTGCCGGACAAAAGTTTAAGAACAGGCTAGAATACCAGCTCTTTCCTGTAAAGTCTCAAAGACTTTTTTTTTGTATTTAGATTTGTGACCCGTTATAAAATGTGGTTAATTACTGAAATTGAGACAAACAAAAATGCTTTTAAGACCTAAATGAAATTCTTCACCTTCCAAAAGATATTGAGCTTTTTCCATAACTTGAGGTCATGTTCTTAAACTTTTGTCCGGCACTGTACGAAAAGAAAGGGGTAAAGGATTGGACACCGGAAGGTAAAAGGGACAAATTTTGAAAGGGAAAGGTTCCACCGAAAGAAAATGACTAAAGAAAACTGTACAGAAATGACTATTTAACATAAAAGTTATAGAAAAATGAAAATTTTTAGAAAGATTAACAAGTGAAGGAAAAGCTAGTTAAGGCTTAAACTCTAGCCACGCAAACTCCCTTTTTGGCCGATTGGTTAGCAGTCTTGGCTATTGTTCTAAAGATCGAGGGTTCGATTCCGGTTAGAGAAATAAGAGTTTACAATGGTAAGCAATGAAAAATAAACTGAATTCTTTACGATAAAAGTTGTTTAGAAAGCTATTAAAGAGGGGGGTGGGACAAATGCGATCTTTTTTTGCGCACCTGGACATTTGCGCACCTTTTTGCTGGAAAAGACCCTAGGAAAGGTCGTAGAGCTTCGAAAATGTTTTCATACTAGGGAATCGTATGCGTAGATTCCGAATTTCGACAAATCAGACCTCGCTGACACGTTAAATTTGAGCTAAAAGGCAAAAACTACGCAACTTAACGCTTTTCCGCAGTTTTTGCCTTTTAGCCCAAATTTGACGTGTCAGCGAGGTGTGATTTGTCGAAATTCGGAATCTAAGCATACGATTGCCTCATCTGGAAACATTTTCGAAGCTCTACGACCTTTCCTAAGGTCTTTGCCAGCAAAAAAAAAGGTGCGCAAATGTTCAGATGCGCAAAAAAAAGGTAGCCTTTGTCCCATCCCCATTAAAGAGTCTATTTCATTTAGTAAATCAATTTCTTCAAAATATCGATTAAAACTCTTGAAATTGATTCCTAGACTCTAACATTTTGCAACAAATATTCAATAGTTGATAAAGCTGGATAGTATTTCTTTTCACTATCACAATTTGATGAATCGGTGAAGATTTGAATGAGGATTGAATGAGAAAGAAGCCCTTTTGTGATATCAAAGTTCTTTTTTGACAATTCAAATCTTTTCCTTGCTCGATCTCTCATCTCATCAGCTACTGTTGTCCAAGCACGAGCCATTTCAAGCCATCTCCACAATGAATCTAAATTTACGATGTATCTGTGCCTATACCAGTAAACCGTTTCGAACAACTCGTAATTAATTTGACTCAGAATTTCATGTAGTTATGCTATTTGTTTTTAAATTTTAAAAAATAAAATTATCGACGTGGACGGGAGTCGAACCCGCGTTTTTTGAGTTAGAGACTAAAGAATCTAACTGCGCCATTCATTGGCCGAGTGGTTAACGCATACGTCTCTCAAACAAACGGGATAGAGAGGTCGTGGGTTCGACTCCTCTAGCCGCCAATTCTTTTGCTTTTTTCTCTCTGTGAATTAAGAAATTGATACAGAATATCTTTAGCAAGCTTTTGCAAGCTTTTGCAAGCGTTAGAAAAGCTTTAGCAAGCTTTAGAAAAGCTTTAGCAAGCTTTAGAAAAGCTTTAGCAAGCTTTTGCAAGCTTTTGCAAGCTTTTGCAAGCTTTAGAAAAGCTTTAGCAAGCTTTAGAAAAGCTTTAGCAAGTTTTTGCAAGCTTTAGCAAGCTTTAGCAAGCTTTAGCAAGCTTTGGCAAGCTATATAGCTGAAGCTAAATAAATTCTGTTTTACTCTAATGTAATAAAGACTAGATTTTTACAATGATTTCAAGAAATGAAAGATTCAAATGCAAGAATTTCAATAAAATGATAGCCAACCAATTTCTGATGAGAACGATCTTCCATCCGTGAAAGCAGTGGTGTTTACTGTGAAGAGTTCAAGCACTGGATGGAGTAGAGGAATGATGCACGGAGCTGCTGATTCACCAGGTTCTCCCGAACTACGTAGGTGACGAAAAGCCTAAATTTTCTTGCATAACAAACGAAATCCAACTGAAACTAGCGTTGTCTTACCTTCAACAATCTCTCGTATCGTGTCCTTGTCTGTAAATCCATCGATGACCATAACCATTGTTGTTCAACGAGCTGAATCTTTTAAGGTTTATGATTTTTTTAAAAACTCACCACTTTTGACATTAATCCTTGCATAATATTGACAAATGCAAAGAAATTTCCGAATGAATAAAAGATTTCATTGGCTATATTAAACCAAAATGAAAGGAAAGTTGAAGAGGATTTTGTTTCATGAAGAATCGTTAGCACGACGACTAGTTGCATTGATCGACTTCTAAAAAAATGGATTAAGCATCAAATTTTCTACTTGAAAGCTTGAAAAATTACAAAACAATTGAAAAACGATGCTAGTTGCTAAAATGATTTAGGATTTTCTATTAGGTTGTTCGGATATAAACGAGCATTTGCACTGCTGGAACTGCGTGCACTGCGTTTGCACTGAGGAAGCCATTTCCCGTATCAGATCGTTTTTCCAATGGTGTGGAGATGCTAATCAATAATAGCATTTGAACATAGAAACTGTTGAGCAGGTTCACGCGTCGTTTGACATCGATTCGATTCGATTGCAGCCCTCAAAGTATCGTTGTCTACCGCTTGAGGTCGACGAGAGTGTTCATCATCCTCGAGACTCTCATCACCATTCCGAAAGCGTTAGAACTAGTTTCGGCATCGGCTTTCGAACAAAACATCATTCCCAAATGCTTTGACCAAATCTCAATGGGATTCCGCTACTGTTTTGTCCAGTTTAAAGTCGTAAAGTAGGCAGACGCGAACTTTATATATTTGACATGGATCCGATTCGATTGCAGCCCTCAAAGTATCGTTTGAGGTTGATCGCTTTTACCGCTTGAGCTCGACCAGAGTGTTCATCATCCTCTAGACTCTCATCACTATTCCAAAAGTGTTAGAACCAGGCTCAGCATCGGCTTTCGAACAAAACATCATTCCCAAATGCTTTGACCAAATCTCAATGGGATTCCGCTACTGTTTTGCCCAGTTTGAAGTCGTAAAGTACGCAGAACTTGATATTTGATCATCTAAAGCAAGAAAAAAGATCTTAAAAATAAGAAATTATCCGTTTAAAAATATTCCAAATATGCACAAGATAACGTACTTTTAAATACAGAAAGACATGTTTTAAAAGAAGCTTTAAAAGCTTCTCTCACAACAATAAGTTTAGCAACGCTTGTTTATATCCGAAGCAACCAAATAAGTGCTAGATCTGAACGAACTAAAACTAAATAGATTTTGTAATCGTTAAGAGATTTAATGCTTTCAAAAAACATAAAATTTGAACACAAATGAATTCCCTTTTACCTTGCATTCAATTCATTTCTCATCTTCGATCCACTCGGCAACAAAATCTGTCGCAATCCATTTTCCATTTTATTCTAAACCATTCGAAGAATTGAGACTACCATTTTACTCAATAAACCTTTTCATTTGTGTCAATGAATCCAATAAGAGCAGCATCTTGTCGACAAATCTCTTTACACACCTCATCAATGCTCATTTGCTTTAATTTTTTCTTCAATCCATCGAGCATTTGAAGGATTGATTCAGATTTGGCGAATTGCATGTTAATTCCGGAATCTCTGGAAATTAGATTGGTTTAAATGAAAAAAAACAGTGATCTGTCAATGATCTTTAAAAGATTCGAGAAGATTTGACAATTCTAGATAGCTTGCCAACTCTGGATGGTTTGCCAATTCTTTTAATCATAATCTTTAAAGGATTCTAGAAGATTTGACAATCCTAGATAGTTTTCCAAGTCTTTAATCATAAACTTTAAAAGATTTGAGAAGATTTGACAATTCTAGATGGTTTTCCAAGCCTTTAATCATAAACTTTAAAAGATTCTAAAAGATTTGACAATTCTAGATAGCTTGCCAAGCTTTTAATCATAATCTTTAAAAGATTTGAGAAGATTTGACGATTCTAGATGGTTTTCCAATCATAAACTTTAAAACGTTCTAGAAGATTTGCCAATTCTTTTAATCACAATCTTTAAAATATTCTAGAAATGAAGTCGAATTTTGAAATGAAAAACGAAAAGAATTTAGCGAGAATTCAAATCGATTTGCCTTAAATCTTTTCGCAAAGTGAAAGGATGGTAATTTGTTTGAGAGAGTCTTTCAAAGAGTTTTCTTTTCCTCAAATTTCTCCCAAATAATCAATGATCAACTTATCGAAAAGAAATTGGTAATTGAAATCTCTGAAATATTGCAAATGCTAATTGAAGTACATTACTTGTTCAAGTACATTACTTCAAGTACATTACAAGTACATTACAAGTACATAAATGAATATCTAATTTTAGTAAAGTGAGCGAAGTATTAAAGAATCAAGATTACATTTGTTTTATTAGATTTTATTAGAATCTTTGATATATTGTAGTACAGGAAGTGTTAATCTACTTGTCCCTTTCAAAATTATCAAAATAAACCTCGAAGTGATATCATCATAGTCATCAGGCTTTGAACAATTCTCTGATCTTCTCATTTTCGTTCGCACTTGATCATAGTCATTCTCATTATTATTCTAAAATCAGAGTTTTAATATCAAGGTTCATAAATGGTTCAAACCTTTTCCAAACTTTCTTTTCCTTTTGGTTCATCATAGTCAGAAATATCAGAGATAAGAGCTGAGTCTCGTTCATTTGGAGACTTCGATCGTGGTGGAAGTGGTGGAGGATTTTTAGTTTGAAAAGACTTTACAGTCAGATTTTGACATGATGAGAAGCCTCGATTCATTGTCGATCCTAGGAAATTCGTTTTAGAAACTTTAGCAATTTATACTATCAATTTATACTATCAATTTGTACTAACAATTTATCAAGAAAGGGTAGCTTTAGTTTAATAGTTACAGAAGTTACAGAAGTTGAAGAATTTAAAAGTTTAGACTGAAAGCTTAGCCTGAAAGCTTAGCCTGAAAGCTTAGACTGAAAGCTTAGACTGAAAGCTTAGCCTGAAAGCTTAGCCTGAAAGTTTAGCCTGAAAGTTTAGCCTGAAAGTTTAGCCTGAAAGTTTAGCCCTGTTCGTCAAAATATTTTTGAAACAAATAAATAAACAAAACTTAAAACTAACAATTAAACAAACAAATTAAAAAAACTAAAAAGTAAGAATTTAAAGAATTAAAGAATTAAAAGAACTACTTACCTGGTAAAGAGAAAGTCGAATATGATTTTCCATTTCTTTCCAATTGAGTTGATACAGAAGCATCAAGTACATCCTCCATCGCATCATAGTCCATATCACAATACTGAAAATGAATTTGAATCTAAAATTCTATTTGTTGTAACGAAAATTAAGCATTAAAAATCAGCCAAATTTCATTACTATTAGATTGTTCGGATATAAACAAGCGTTGCTAAACTTTTTGTTGTGAGAGAAGCACCGATTACAAAAGCTATTTAGTTTTAGTTCGTTCAGATCTAGCACTTATTAGGTTGTTCGGATATAAACAAGCGTTGCTAAACTTTTTGTTGTGAGAAAAGCTTTTTAAAAAATGTCTTTCTGTATTTAAAAAGTACATTATCTTGCGCATATTTGAAATCTTTTTAAACGGAAAATTTCTTCTTTTTAGGATCTTTTTTTCTTGCTTTAGATGATCACTTTAAATATCAAGTTCGCGTCTGTTTACTCTACAACTTCAGCGTTAGATGATCGACTTCAAATATCAAGTTCGCGTCTGTTTACTCTACAACTTCAGCGTTAGATGATCGACTTCAAATATCAAGTTCGCGTCTGTTTACTCTACAACTTCAGCGTTAGATGATCGACTTCAAATATCAAGTTCGCGTCTGTTTACTCTACAACTTCAGCGTTAGATGATCGACTTCAAATATCAAGTTCGCGTCTGCCTACTCTAGAACTTCAGCTTTAGATCACCGGCTTCAAATATCAAGTTCGCGTCTGTTTACTCTACAACTTCAGCGTTAGATGATCGACTTCAAATATCAAGTTCGCGTCTGCCTACTCTAGAACTTCAGCTTTAGATCACCGGCTTCAAATATAAAGTTCGCATCTGCCTACTTTACGACTTCAAACTGGGCAAAACAGTTGCGGAATCCCATCGAGATTTGATCAAAACATTTGGGAATGATGTTTTGTCCGAAAGCCGATGCCGAGCCTGGCTCCAACCCTTTGGGAATGGTGATGAAAGTCTCGAGGATGATGAACACTCTCGTCGACCTCAAGCGCTAGACAATCATGAATTTTAAGATGTTTTTAAGATAAATTTTGTCGACTACTAAAACGCTAAAACGCTCGTTTATATCCGAAAAAGCTAATACATGCAATTCATTCAATTATTTACCTTTTTGGATTCTTTTAAAAGCGGCTAAATAAATTAGATTTAAAAATTAGATGCTTAAAATGATTACTTACATCATCTTGATCTTCATTTGAAATCCTTGGAACAGCGATTGGAACAGGCAATGGTCGATTCATTAAATGAGTCGGGATTTCTAAACTTATTTCTAGATCTAGATAGTTTAAGATTAGATTTTATCTGCGAAAATAAATTTACTACATCTATTTGAATCAAAAATTTACCTTTTGCGGTGGAAAATGTGTACTCAGAAGTAGGGCGACTTCGCATCACGCGATTCAAGATCGCTTGTTGTGTGAGTGTTCGGGGATGAGCTAAAAATAAATTTCATATTAACATTGTTGAATATGTTGTTAGATTTTTTAGATAGAGACATTTTTTGATTTACTAACCATTTGCTGAGACATGAGCGGATGGATTGAGTACCCGAGCGTAGGCGGCCTCAATCTCTTGACTTTCGGGGTGCTGAAAAAGTGAGTTGAATGATATTGATGAACCGAATAGATGAATGAAAATATGATATTGATTCTATTACCGTATTCTCTCTAATAAGTGCACCCCGACGAGTTGATGACTATTTTACAGCTTCCAAAGTTTTCACAGAAGCTCAACACTCAAATCCCCCACTAGATCTCATCGTCAGCTTCATTTTCCGACTCCACATCGATAGGTTCTAATAAGCGGTTCTCGAGATTTCGAGGAATTTAGGCAACGCTCACGGTGCACTACTATTAGAGAGCATACGGTAGCTTAAAAGTATCTCTGTAAGTAGTTTCAAAGCGTGTATTTTGCTAATGTCCACGTGGTTTAGATATCGTATTCTCTCTAATAGTAGTGCACCCCACCGAGCCGATTTGATGACTATTTTACGGTTTCCAAGCTTTCATAGAAGCTCAACACTCAAATCCCCCACTAGATCTCATCGTCAGCTACATTTCCCGACCCCAAATCGATGGGTTCTGATAAGCGGTTCTCGAGATTTCTAGATTTCGAGATTGGCAACGCTCTTGGTGTACTACTATTAGAGAGAATACGGTAGATTACAGCTTTTGAAAGCTTACTTTAGCCACTGGACATCCAGTTGGATCAATGGGAGTTTTAATGATCGCTCCACTCGTCATCGTAATCGGTCGCTGATGAGATTGATAGAATTGGAGAAGACTGGGAATTGATGTGAATTGCTCTTCCTCAAACTGAATTTAATCTTTATTTCTAAGATTTAAGTACATAGTAGATTTAAGTGAAGTATGACGTGGATTTATGCTACAATGCGCGCCTAGGTATCAAAAAATAGCTGAAATTTAGGGCTATTTTTTGATACCAAAGATAATGACGGTGCGGAGTGTTGCGTAGTCTAGCTTTAAACGAGTGTTTCTCGACACTGATTTATCCTACAATGCGCGCTTAGATCTCAAAAAATAGCCCTGAATTTCAGCGATTTTTTTGATACCAAAGACACATTTTTTTGAAAGTACAGGCGCTTTGAAAAAAATGAAATACGAAAAAACACTTTTGCAACTACGCGACTGTACGAGGACGGGTGGGGTACTATTACAGTATTTACGCTAGTTTATGAATAGTTTTTTGTAGATAATTTCAGGGTTCCCAAAATTTGGACTAGTCCAAAATGTAAATTTACTTCATCTGCCAGTTCTAACTCTTTACTGTAAATAGTATTCGTTTAAAATTCCCCCCCAAAATACGTGTAACCAAGTTTTGTCATAGTTAAATAATTTCCTTATACGCAATATTCATGTCATTGTTTTTGTTTTTTAAAAAAAGTTGAAAGCCAAGCATTCCTTTCTCAGAGAGACTCCTCGCCAAGCCTTACACAAATAAATTTTACGATTTTCTCATCACTTTTTATTGTCGATTCTTTTATGTTATGATCTTTTATCTATATCTATCTGTTGCCGTAAATACTGTAATAGTACCCTACCCGCATAATGACGGTGCGGAGTGTTGCGTAGTCTAGCTTTAAACGAGTTTTTCTCGACACTGATTTATGCTACAATGCGCGCTTAGGTATCAAAAAATAGCTGAAATTTAGGGCTATTTTTTGATACCAAAGACGTATTTTTTGAAAGTACGGATGCTTTGCAAATTTTTTCAAATGAAAACAGATTCATATAGATGAGCGCTATGACAGTTTCCCTCTAGCACACTACAAAGCTTCTTTAAAGAGCTAGGTGACTGTGATCAAAAGAAGAATTTAGGTGTAGAAATGTTTCCCAGAATTTCTGCTTTAACACTTTAAAACTTTATTTAAATAACTTCTAAAGCTAAAAACTAAAAACTATTTCGTATTATTAGATGATTTACAGTTTATAACCTTAAATCTATTCTCTTCTGTTCTTGACATCTGTTCGGTGAAAGACTTTGATGTTTAGAGGGTTCAGGTAGGGGAACAGGTGGCTTATTTCACGGTGAATCAAACCACAATGACTCTTGAAAAGGAAATGAATGAGTGGTTTCTGTTGTGAGTTTATTCTTACATGGTAAACGATTCTCCCTGTGGGTAATTTCGTGGAATTGATTTGAAAGTGAAGAGCACGATCACCGTGTTTCGTTGTCAATACGTAGTCGCCAGGCGCCGAGATTGAGTCTCTCACCTAAAATCGATAGATAATCATTAGCTTTGAAATCTAAATAAGCTTCAATAATACTGCTTTTCTTTCTTTTCTTTAACTTAAACATTACTAAGAGCTTTTAGGTTTGCTTATTCATCGTTTTCATGATTCTTTTACTTAATATTTATAGTATTTCATATATTTTCTATTTTGGTTTATTAGATTCTAGTTTATGCTTTCAATCTTGAGCTTAGCATGATCTTTGTCACCCATTTTTAGAACTACTTTTCAAACAGAACTTTCAGAACTTCAGAATTATTAGAGTAACTCCAAATCTAATAGAGTAACTCCAGATCTACTAGAGTAACTCCAAATCTATTAGAGTAACTCCAGATCTATTAGAGTAACTCCAGATCTATTAGAGTAACTCCAAATCTATTAGAGTAACTCCAAATCTAATAGAGTAACTCCAAATCTACTAGAGTAACTCCAGATCTACTAGAGTAACTCCAAATGAAATCTTAACATACCCTTTGTCACCCCTTTTTAGAACTACTTTTCAAACAGAACTTTCAGAACTACTTTTCAGAACTTTCAGAACTTTCAGAACCTTCAGAACTTCAGAACTACTTTTCAGAACTTTCAGAACTTTCAGAACTACTAGAGTAACTCCAAATCTACACTCAATTAAAATCCAAAAAATTGTAAATAAAATAGCAAAGTATTTAGTACTTTCTTTAGCATTTTTACTAGTCATTTTATGACTTTTACAAGCTTTACCAGTAATTTTTATCAATTTTATTAGCTTTACCAGCCTTAACTAAGCCTCTTTATCTCATAAAACATCAATAAATTCTAATTTTTAATAGAACTCATGATTTTTGTATCAAAAAAAGATGCACGAATCATCAATTTGCATTTAGAAATAAAGATATCCCTTTCAGTTCTAATACTGCTTTTGAAGATTCTCTTTAAACGACAACTGCTTTGCAATTCACCAATCGAATTCTTTGAAATTTGCTAATGGACGACTGCTAAATTAGTGTCCTCTTGCATTGTGTAACCCCACAAAAAAAAAAGAGAAAATGGTCACTTTGAATGGAAAGAAAGAGTCCACTAGAGCAATAAAATGCCTGTGCGGCATCATCAGTCAAAAAGAGTAGAAAGGGTTATCGAGTAGCTTGTGTAAAGCAGTGTTCCCGTGTGACAACCTTTCTTCTATGAGAAGTGCTTTGGTTTTGGTGTTTGTTCTTGCTTTTAGCGACAGGTACACAGAATCTAAGAGGGGTATTCTCTTTACGAGAATCCGATGTAAACAGTTGGCTTATGAATGGCTTATGAATCAAAGCACTCTTTTGTTGGAGGAAGGGGGTAAAGATAAAGTAAATTCATTGACTCTATGCAAAAATGTTAATCTTTTTTTTTAAATTCATTGAAATACTATTGATTATTAAAGTACCAATTTTACTAAACATTCTTTTCTATTGATTTAAAAGATAAAGCTTGTAGTGAAAGCTTGACTGGGAACAATTGATGCTTTAAAACTCGCTAATCAGATCAATCAAATCAATCAGATCTTTTCTAAAGCTTTAGTAATTGAAAGTATAACCTTTCAGAGCTCTAAAATCATATTATAATCCAATTCTTTAGTATCCTTGCAACCCACATATAACTGGGAACAATTGATGCTTTAAAACTCGCTAATCAGGTCAATCAAATCAATCAGATCTTTTCTAGAGCTTTAGTAGCTGAAAGTATAACCTTTCAGAGCTCTAAAATCATATTATAATCCAATTCTTTAGTATCCTTGAAACAACCCACATATTATCCAAAACACAATGAAACAATGCCCTCAAGGTTACGCAATTTTTGCACCAAGACAGGTGTGAAATTACACAGAACTATTTGGAAAGTGATTTTGTAAAACTCGAAAGAAATTTTCGCATATCTATGAATATCAAATCAATACCTTAAGGTTAGATATACGGATCAGATATAAGGATCAGATATGGTTATCTGTCGGCGAGTGGTTTGACCTTGAAAAGCATCTCGGTCACTCTATATAAACCGCGATTGAGCATCTGTTTATATCGAGGATTTGTGAATCGGCTAAAGGCTTAGGCTAAAGATGTAAAAGGATTCAAAAGATCAAGAAGATTTAGGAAAAGATTTAAATTAAAAACTTTTAAGTCTTCGTGTTGAAAACTTGAAGTTTTTTTTCGAACTACGAGCATTCTAGAAATCCTTTTAAAGCAAAAACAACAAATCTAAAAGAAAATGATTGATAACATTTAAGTTTTGACTTTGATTTTCTGCAATTCAGTAATTTGATTGATTAGAAATAACTAAAAACTATTTTATGTCGATCTTTTTAAGTAAAATCTTTATTTTCTAATATAACTTTGTCTTTTCTATGAGTTCAAAAACATTTTAAGCTTATCTCTCATCACTTCCGGTTTTTAGCTTCATTACTTCATTACTTTATGTCATAATTTTGCTTCCTTTATCGAAAATTCTTAAAAAATTCAAAAATTCAAACACTTTCACAGTCAGAGACACAAAAATGGAGAAAAAAACAGAATCGTGGGGTGAAAGAGATTAGATAAGCGGTTTGGGAAAAGAAATGAAGGAGAGAAAAGGAAGAAAGGAGAGAAAAACCCTTTTCAAGACACTGACTCATCTTTTTTCATTCGTTTTGCACAAAAATTCGCCTACAAGACGTTCAAAAATGTCAAGAAATCTCTCGTGAATGACAAATTTTACGTAAAATTTGGATATTAACAATAAAATGAGCGATAAATATAGCTTTAATCACTTTTGAAAGCCGACTTCATAGTCATAATGGATTTTTTCGGATTTGAATTTATAAATTCTTAAATCAAATCCTGATCTAGTTACACAATCATTATCAGCACAATTCCACAAGTTTTCTATAAGAAAAGTGCATTCGAATCAAGAAAGAGAAAGAAATGAAAAGGAAAGGAAAGAAAAAGAAAGTAAAATGATTAATTTTCAAAAGTTTTAAAAGCCATAAAAAGTATTTCAAAAGTCAAAAGTATCTCACCAAAAATTCGCCACTCTTTCGAACAAGTTCCTCCGCTCGAACACGCGTAAGCTTTCCATGGTAATATTTCTGTTGTAACATTTGAGCTCTTGTGCTTCCAATTGGATCATCGTATTCATCCATAACTAAAAATTAAATCAATTTATGATAATGACAATAAAAATTCATTAAAAGCGTTGAATAGAGTTGAAAAAAAGTGAAAATTCATTCACAGAAATCGATCAAGCTAGATATTAAACTATTTTTAGTCGTAATACTATCATTTTTAAAACACTTAAACGTAAACCAATAACAAAAGATAGACAAAAATCAAATCCTGAATTTCCTAAAATCCCGGGAGACTGGTGGGGGGATCATAAAGATGTATAGAGAAGTGAAATGGGCGTGAACAAAAAGAAGGAGTGAATCTCTTTCCTTTGGATGCAAGGGACACTGAAAAGGATCCAATTCTGCTTCATAGGCCAAATAAATCTCATAAGTAGACGATTGGATAGGGTTTTGCGGGCGAGAATAGAAAGAGGATAGAAAGAAGATAGTGAAATGGACAGACCGCTCATCAATGGGAACAAACGAGAGAAACAATTGCTTTGTCTTTTAGCTATACTACTTGTCAACTATTCAATGATGAGTTGAAAGGATAACTTATGCTAAGAAATTGAGTCTTAAACAAAAATTAATACTTGCAAAAAGTCAGTAAACAAAGTCTTGCCATTTTTCGAAAGATTGGTGAATTGAATGTTATAAATTTGACATGAAACAAACTCAAAGCAGCAATGGATTCAAGATTTAGCTTTTCAGTGGAATCTTATTTGTATTTTCATCCAAAATAGATTCCATATTAATCAAAAGATTAGAAAATATGATTAAGATTCAAGAAAAGATGCTAGTTCTTATCCAATTATACAAAAAATAGTTTAGATTAAATTTTTAAAGTTGTAAAAGCTTGTGAAAGATCAAAAAAGCTTAGGCTCAGGCTCAGGCCTAGGCTCAGGCCAGGCTCAGGCTTAGGCTAGAATATTCAATGAATATATTAAATTCTATCAATGCAAGTAATAACCAGTCAATGATTGGATAAAATGATTGAATAAAATAACTTTCGAGTGCTAAATCTTTTGCAAGTGCAAGTATTGGATAAAATTGATAAGCTTACCAAAGATAAATATCAAAGTTCTTTTGAACGTCAAAAAAGATATGATGAGTAATAAATTTTTTTCAAAAATCAGCTCAAGAAAGAAGAAAAAATGGCAATGCAAACATGATCTTTTTCGGAAAGAAGAGAAACGGATGGGGAATTGAATCTTAAACATGCCAAAGAATACGAGAGTGGTTTGAGAAAGGCGATACTATGCATAGTTAAAGATTTCCCTTGGCTTCATAGAAAGTTTTTCTAAAACCTTTCAGAATTCGTCAACGTTTTACTTGAAGTCAAAAGAAAGAGTTATCAGTTCTGATTGGACTTTTGAAGTATTCAAAAAAGACAACGAAAGAAAAGTGTTTACTCAGTCAAAAAGATTGGATTTGGAGTTGAATTAAGACTTCTATTAGTTTGCTTAACCTGAAAAGTTTTAAAATTTAATTCATTGGAGTGGTATGATATCAAAAAGAATCCTGAAAAATGATGAATAAGCAAACAAAAAGCTCTTAGTAATGTTTAAGTTAAAGAAAAGAAGAGTAAAGAAAGAGAAGCAGTATTATTGAAGAAAATACAAAACGGTATTTCTTCTGAATCAGCAAAGAAGAGCCTCTGGAGAGTCAGAAGGGGAAAAGATGGAAAAGGAATAGAGCACGATGAATCACAGGCCAGAATAAGCCACAAAAAAACCATAGAATTAATCGATGGACATTGAATGCTAGGGAAAGTGACTCTAAAAGGAATTGCCTTCACAAGATCTAGAAAGCAACGAAAAAACGGTAAGTTCAGTTATACTTCTCTGCCAAAAATCTTTAACTAGTTGGTAGCAAAGTTTGATAACTTATGATAACCAAATTGTACCGAAAAAACAAGTTAATGAAAATATTGAATGTTTAGTTTAGAAAGTTTAGAAAAGACTGGTTAAGTGAATGAATTTAAAAAGATCTTATCTTACCAAAGAAACTTTACAACAATCTATTACTCATCAAAAATGAATCTGACATTTTTTAAACGAAAAGACACAAAGGTTTAACAGTAAATATTAAATCTAAAAACCAAGATTTCAATCTAATCCAATAAACAATTGTCATTTCAACAATGTTTCAAAATCTTGATGATTTTTTGATCGATTTTGAAAGGGTCACTAATCAAAAACATGTCATATGTGGAGATTGGGTGAAAAAATGTGAGCAGATGGTTGAATGAGTGGGATGGGGTTGAAGGGGAAGCTCCATAAACAACAATCAAGAAAAGTTTGTGGGTAGGATTTGGTGGGGAAAAGGGGAAGAGATAGATCTCTATGGTGGTGAGCGGAAAGGGGCAAGTCGAGACAATGTATATGCAAATTTGGATTCCTTTTCAGTCCCTTTCCAACATAAGGCGGCTGACAGGGAATAGAGATTGTGGGAGAAAGGAGGAAAGAGGGGAAAAGGGTGTTGACGCGCAGCTAGTCAAAGTAGGCAAAGGAGAGCCGGTGGATGGAAAGGGAAGGGGGGATTGCTATGCGCACCATATTTACTTTCAACCACTGAACCCACGGGACTTTGCTACCATTTTAAGAATTCATTCTAGAATGTTCAAGAAAAAGCAAAAGGTGATTTTCAAGTTTCAAGGAATTTCTTTAGAAATATTGCACAGAGATATGTCAAATTTCTTGACTCATAAAGGTAGAAAAGTTAGCTAACAAGGGAATGATCTCAGCTCAAAGTTCGGAATCGGCTGGAAACACAGTACATAAAATAGAATCGGCAATGGCGAGCAAAGCGCCACAAAAATTAGCCGCTAATAGACTTGCGACCTTTTTCCGAGAAAATCCTATGTTGACGCTTTAAAGCGTGGTAAAACTACCGTACCCTTCCTAATTTGCGCGCAATTTCATTTAAATTTTATTCTTTTTGCGTTTTTTCAACTAAAAAGTCACAAAAACAAAGTTTCCGCCATAGAAAATGATAAAAATCACTTAACTTAGCATTAGTTGGCATCAAGTTCGTGAAGCAGAGCGTCGGGAAGCAAGTGGGTCTAAAAAGCCACAAAAACAAAGCTTCCGCCACAGAAATAGCTGTTAAAAACGTAACTTAACTTTTTCCTCTTTGTTTCGCGCAAAAACAAACGCGACCACATCAGAAAAACGCAAAAAGAATAAAATGAAATGAACAAGAATGAAAAAAAATGAAATTTCGCGCAACTTAGGAAGGGTACGGTAGTTTTACCACGCTTTAAAGCGCCAACCCAGAATTTTCTCATAGAGAAGCCTCCTAAAGGAATCAGTTTTGAATCCCGATTTTGCATGCCAGATTCTTCGCGTTTCCGTGGCTATTAGCGGCTAATTTTTGTGGCGTTTTGTTCGCTGTTGCCGCTTTTATTTTATGCATTGTGTTTCCAGTCGATTCCGAACTTTGAGCTGAGATCATTCCCTTGTGAAATTCTGTCAAAACATCAGTAAAGAAACAAAGGCGATGATTTCAGTAGACAATAGAACAAACAACTATTTATATGCAAGGGTTGTTGATTTGGCTATCACGATCCATTCCCATTGACCTTTCCCTATCAATCGCTTTCACAGCCTCATCTGAATCACATTTTGGCATATTGCCTTGCTTTTTATGTGATCATATTATGCACGAGAACATGTTTAGTCATAAGTTGAACAATAGAACTTGTAACTGTTTTTGGCACAATTTCTCATTATGAACTGAAAGGAAATAAACTGGGGGTACACAAGCAATAAATCTACCTGGTTCATGGCTGATATATGATTATTAATCAAGGCTACAAGGCTAACTGCTTTTAAAACCACAGTACTGGACAATGAAATATGATATTTGAAAAACGATCGTCACTTTCACGCGTCTGTAACTCCGTTGTCTTTGAGTTTAAACTATTAGTGTTATACATTTTCTGAAAGCTCTTTTCAAGGGCTACACAATGGTAATAATAATATTTAGAAATACGGTAAAGACAAGAGAGTTACAGACGCGCGAAAGTGATGATCTTTTTTCAAATATGATATTTCATTGTCCAGTAGTGTACATAACTAGAGTGCGTTTTCTAAAATGAACTTTGAGAAAAAAAAACTACTGGAGTCAAATCGTTACTTTTCATCACCTCAATCAGCTCAATCAGCTCAATTTTTATATCATTAATTGAGCCTTTTAATTTCTCATATAAAAATTGATCTGATCAAATGTAAACTAGCAATTTGACTAGCAAACTAGCAAACTGTAAACTAGCAAAGCAATCAAAAGCAATTTGACTACGATATTTTTCTCAAATAGATACATTTTAGAAAACGCATTTATGTATATGATTTTATACATTTCGAGTGTCCCCCCCCTGTGTTCCCCTTTTGCCCCCCTAAGTGTCCCCCTCAAAGTGTCCCCTTTTTGTCCCCCTAAAGTGTCCCCCCCTAGTATCCCCCTATTTTTTTTCATATCAAATCACAACTTTTTGGCTCTCAAGGAAAAGGAACGAAAAGACTTTCTGGACAGCCTAATAATGTTTTTAACTTTTTTGAGTGATTTCAGTTAAATTTTTCCGTTTAAGAGGTTTCGAGTTCGATGCATTTGCCGATCATTGAGTTTAAGAAGTTAAAGCACATTTGGAGAGCAAAAAGTTGTGATTTGATATGAAAAAAATGGGGGATACTAGGGGGGACACTTTAGGGGACAAAAAGGGACACTTTGAGGGGGACACTTAGGGGGCAAAAGGGACACAGGGGACACACGGGGGGACACACGGGGGACACGGGGGGACACTCGAAATGTATAATATGATTTCTGAATCAGTTAACCTATGTTTAACTGTTTCTTGTTTGTTCAATCCTTAAATTGAATTTAGATTAGCTTGAACATTAAATAAGCTACAGAAACTCATAATTTTGTATTAAAATTCAAGAATTCAATGTTACATGGTAAAATTTATAGGAAAGTAATCAATTCGAGTTTAAAATTGATAAATTCAAAGCTTAGAAGTCAAATGAAGCCATTTTCTAAGTAAAGATCTTGTTAACAACAAGAAAAACTATTAGATATAAAAATAGATAACCAAATAGATTCAAAAGCTGTGCATCGTTGCTAATATTGAATTCAATCAGTAAAAGAGAAGAAAATGATTGACCGGCTGCCCCCATCGTTTTCTTTTTCTTTTTCTTTCGGTTGTGATAAGATATTCAAAAAGGAAAGCTTTCTTGTTTGTCTTTAGAATCTCGAAATTTCACACACTCACCAAATTTGATCACAAAAGGGATCGAGATTGTGGAAACCGGAAATCTAAAGCAATGAGTGGAAAGAGAAACTGTGAGTGCTTCATTTAAAACTCAATCTATTAAACGATTCATGTATAATTTCAAAATTTCTCTAAAACATTTGTACAATACATATTGTAATGAAAATTGGATAAATATAGTCATTTGAACTCATAGCTCTCTAGAACTCAGCTCTCTAGAACTCAGCTCTCTAGAACTCATAGCTCTCTAGAACTCAGCTCTCTAGAGCTCATAAATCAGCTTTTAAAGTTTCAGTTATTTTGTAAACTATGTATAAAAGCAAGAAGAACAAAAAGACGATTCAAGAATTGTATTTCTTTGTCTCAAAAGCAAGGGAATGGTACCTTCTGGTGCTTTCCGTGAAAAGAGAAGAGCAATTGGAGAAGGGTGCTTGTGAAATTTGGAGAAAGAGGGGAAAGGGGGAGGGGAGGAATTGTCGAGAACCCTTATGCTAACCCACCTTCTCCTTCACTTTCTCATCCACCTAACCACTTGGCCTGGGAAACCAAAACATTCATTGGGACAAAAGTTTTGATGGCACATATCCTCGGATTGACTCTAGATGCCAGATCTATGAGAAGCTGGTCGTCGGTTTTTTTTGGTTCCTGGTTTAGTTTAGTGATTTTTTAAAAATCACTCAACCAAACAAAATCGGAGAACTCTCTCAATCAATCAAAACCAAAATGTAGAAAGCGTTTCCTCGACTTCCTCTAATCCCAAACATACGCTCGACAAGAAAAATGGCTGCAATTTGCATATGAAAGCCGAGAGATGAGCGCCGGGGATTAAGGCGCTGAAGCTGAAAGGAAATCGGGAATTTTTCCCCACCGGGTTCATAATTCCCAAATTCACTTTCATCCATCAGATGACTGATTGCTCTTCGTGGAGAGAAAAGGCCCAATTGAACCTTCCTCCCGGCTGTCACCGGCAATTATTGGGGCTGAGGGTCTATTGGGGGGAGAATTTGCATCGGATTTCGTTAATCACCGCCCCCACCACGGCGTTCAAGTGTTTTGGGCCGTTTCAGGGCTAAATCAATTGCGTTGTAGGTGTTAACTCGACTGACTGAAATTGAATGAACCCATTCCGTAAAATTATACACGCAATTTACATTAAAATAGTATGTATTTGTCATTTTTTGAAAAAACTTTCTACTTTTATTTGCATCAGAAACCATTAGTCCAATTTACTCGCAAACACAAAATGGCATAAATTAGGAAAAAAACGAAGAAGCAATCTTTGGAATGATCAGAAGATCGACTAAAACTAGAAGTAACAATGGCTAGACATCACAACGAACTATTAAACAAAAAGAAAGAAAGCGCAATCGATGCATAAATTAAAAGGAAAATATACATTAGCAGTAATTGGGAGAAATAAAGCACATTTTGTATTTTGGATTCAGTAAATTGAAGAAAGGGACTAGGCGAGAAAAATGGCGTAATTTCTATGGGGTACGCAAAGGGAATTGGTCACATGTATCGGAAATATTGGCTGAAAAAGTAAGTGGTAAGTTTGTGTGAAAAGAAAGTGATACTTTTTAGACTCGAAGATGTCCCATCTCGTTGACGACCGTTTCCACTCGCGTCCCCGCTGCCAGTCAATCTTTTGTCTTCAGCTCTTTCAGGTTAGTGAGGAAGCGATCGGGAGTAATGATTTGATCAGAGCCTAAGTATGTAACTTGATGAAGAAAAGTTATTGAAAAGAGTAGTAATGACTCTTCTAAAATTCCGCCTAATTTGATTACATTTTCGATAAAGATTATCTAACAAAACCAAGTACTTATTGTAAGTGCTAAAAAACCAACCAATGATAACTTCCCACGGTTTCTTCTCACGTGTCACCTCATAAGCAGCACGCATCTCCGAATAAGTGAGGCCACCAATGATGAACACAATCACACGGGGCCCGGATCTAAAAAATTGAATTTGAGTAAAACTGATTATGACTAGGGTGTCTCAAGTAAGTAATTACTTGAGTAAATTTTTCCAGGTAATTTTTTACTTGAATAAGCGTCAAGTAAAACGTCAAGTAATGTTCATTCTAAAATGCGCTCTTTTAGCAGTTTAATATAAAAGGAGCCAATCTTTTGATTTTATAAACACTTTGGTGCTGAGTTTTTAGCTGATTTCAGTGATTAAAAAAAATGTATTTTGTCTTTAATAAATGTTTGCAAGCAGTCTTTATCAAATTATGCGCAAATCAGAATTCTTTCCTAAAAGTATAGACTCTGACCGGATTGGAACCTGCGACCTAAAAGTCGCTGGTTTTAGAAGCAAACGCATAACCCACTCGACCATTTACAAAATTACGATAACTTTCGTCTTGTTCCGCACGTTAAAAAACGGTTTACTTTGTACACAATAAAATTTCTGACTGACCTTTGCGTATTCCCTTGTCCGCGTTCCTTGTGCCATTGACCATAACGAGCCGAGGTGGGAGCGCGATACGCAGTGTTGACTTGTCTACCTAAAGTAAATTCATAAAATCAATCCTTCTATGGGTCGATTAATTTCAAAGGATTTTGTTTTTGACTGTTTGACTACGTGTACACTAGTTTTTTAGAGTAAAACTTAATTAATTGGCAATAACTCTTACCAGCCAAGAAGGGGAAATGCTTCAGATCCAATTTGTCGTCAATCGCATCTTCAACGATGTCCTTAACAATTGGAACCCATCTAAAGTTAAATTTCCATTAAATTATCTACACCAAAGCAAACCTGCTGCTTTGATAAATTTGCTCATTTGGTCTTTCGCGTCGAGTTGGAACCCAAACCTTTTTTCGGCCTTGCTAAATTCATTTGTAATGTCTAAAAAGAGGTAACTCACATCAATAATCATATTTAGGCCCAAATAAGCGGCGTTAGTCAAAGTTTCCTTCTCGGCCATCGAGACGTTTGCGTGTTGGAGGAGTTTGTTGAGATTTTCTTCGCTGATTCCTAAAAAAGATAAATTTAAGAAACAACACATAATAAAGCCATCAGACTTAAAAGAGTGTTTTCCCTCCAAACAAAGGAATTGATACCTTTAATGCTGAGGATGTAGAGCAGAATTATGCGAAGTCGATCTTCAAGGCGTACAGCTGGGTCGATCAGAACGGGCACCATCAATTTCATCGGATCTTTCACGCGTTCACCATCCGCATCAGCGCCCATTGCAAGGTCCTAAAATAATAATCATATGTGTTTGAAAATTAACTATCCTTAAACTAATTCTTATCATTTGTTCATTGCAAATTCTTACCTGTTCCACTTTGCAAAGTTTGTCAACACCATTCTTGTAGTACTTCATGTTTTCTTCAGCCAGATGGAAATGTGTGCTGAATTTGTTGAGTTCCTTTTGGTATTGCGGCATTTTCTTGATCATCATCGACAAATCCTGAATAGAATTGACCATGATCCAATAAGTCTTGAGCCACCTTGATGCTTTTCGAGTCCGTAATTCCCATCTTTGAGTCGGAGAATTTCTAAACTTTTTTTAAGGACCAAATGACGTATTTAACTACCTTAAGTCCATTAGACACTTCTTGCGAAACGACGGCGATGTGCTTGTGTCGATTGTCCACCCAAAGATCGTCATTCTCATCAAGTAGAACCTGTATGAAAGTGATTATTAGTAAAGCTTTGTCTTAATACCTCTTTGTCAACACTTTCGTTTCCACCAGTCTCATACTTGTAGACATCGTTCTCGATTCCAAGTAGATCGTAGGTCATTGCTTGAAGAGTGAGCTCGTGTAGACAAGGAGATACCGCATCAAAGCCACGATCTACAAAATTAATTTATAATGTTACTGCTATGGTTAACAATAAGCTACATACAATAAGCAAAATATAAAATCGCAGGATTAGGTTGAATAAAAAACGACAATCATTGAGGTTAGAAATTACACGTTCTATATTTAAACTACTGAAACAAAGTACCTATGATAATGAGCTGTGATCTGGCCTTTTCGTTTCCATCGCCCATCGTCGGATCATCAGCCTTGTACGCGTCAAGTTTTTGTTCGACGAGATGCGCTAACTCCACATTTCGTTCAAAATCGGCTCGATATCTAAAAAAATCAAAAATGGCTTTTCTCTTGTTAATGGGCGTAATAAAAAGATCCGGACTGTTGTAATTTAAGAATATCCGGTACTGTGAGGCTTTCCAAGACAAAGAAACAAAACTACAATACAAATTCTGACCTCAAATTTTGTACCCCTTACCTGATTGATGGATATTCCCCAAGTGTGGCACAAACGGTAGCAATTTGTTCGGCTATTCTCTCGAGATTCGAAGTAAGTCCTCCTTGTTTTTGCGCATTAAAGTAGAGCGGAAATGTGTCAGGCGAATCAAGAGTGTAGACCTAAAATTGAACAATTGAAAATTTGAGCCAACAAATTTTACAAAGCTCATTGCTATTTGCCCCACAACGTTAATTCTTCACTAAACGGTGAACCACATTTGACGTATAAAAAAATCCAAAATGAAAACTCACTTGTGATTCATATGGTGTAAAAGCAATGTTGATCTCCTTTAAAGTTTTGATAAATCGTGATGCGGCCGACTTGGAGAGCGTCGAGAAAAGTTGATCGGGGCAAGCCTCGGTGAAGAAGACGTGGGCACATTTGTATTGATTCCTCACCGTGAAATCTCCGATCACACGATTCACCTAAACGAAAAGCAATCAAAGTGGTCTTTCAATACGAAATCGCTATTTGATAAACTTAAAAAGCTAACTCACCGATTCTTGTGTAGGGGCCAACAAGTAGATAGCGTCAAGGGTCGGCAATGGCTCACGATTCTTCATCAAATCCTCGACTAAAATTAGAGATTAAATTTATATCTAGTCTGAACAAAATTATTTTAAAGGCATTTGGAGATAAAATGTTACCATTAGTCAAATTAAGCTAGCTGATCGTTGTAATTAAATCATCATCCAACTTTTTCATACTGAATGAATTCCAAGATTAAAAACAACCATCAAATCCTCGACTTTATGGCAGTACACACTTTATTTAAACATTCAGATCCAAACTAACCAATGGTGATTCCCTCGCTGAGCATATCGTGCATCTTGCACGAGGCTGATAGCATCCGCATTGCGAGACGATCCAACACAAGAACATTCCATCCGGCTTTCTTCTTCAGCGGTCGTATCACATCATTCAAGACTTCTAAAGAAATAAATCTATCTTTGATAAATTTGCCAAAACAGTTATTACACCAGTTTATATATCGTAGCCGATTACGATTGAAAAATTTTCGCGAAAACTTAATCGGCTACGACATATAGATTTGAAACAATCAGAACTTTTAAGTTTGACACTTGACAAAAGCCTATTCACTGCTTTTCTAACTAATTTCATAAATTTCTTGTTGGCAGTTTTATCTTTTTCGGTTTAATTGTTTCAAAGTGTAAAGTTTCAAAGCTTCTGCTAATTTGCACCAAATTTCTATACATTATCTAGCAAGTAGCATAGTTAAAGGCGAAATTAAAACTTACTTTGTGCGACGATTTGTTTCAGCGTCATCTCTCACAACAAGATGAGATCGGAAGCCGATGCTGAAAAAAAGAAAAATATCAATAACAGTGCACGGAAAAGGCTTATGAGTAAGCAAAAAAAGGGGGAATCAACTGTACAAACAACCTAATTCGATGAAGAGAGGACGGGGCAAGGAACACACAGAATGGAGGGGAATATTGTAAAGTGTTGTAGTTTGAATGGATTATTGGGAATGGAATGATTGATCAGAAATGAGAAGTGATTGTGTTAAAAGGTGGAAAACTACAAAAACGAGTGTAAAATTGAGAAAAGCATTACCGCAAAAAGAAAGGAATGAACAAAAAATATAAAGCCGCCGTTTTATAGAAAACGATAAAATAGAAAGAAAGAGGAAACACTTTACTTGAAAATATTCAAGTTTTAAACATAAAATCTAGATGTTTATTGGCTAAATTATTCGGGGTTTGTCAAAAATGCAAGAAAAGGAAAAAGGGCTTTTTTGGGGAAAAGCTTAACGCTGTAGATCCGCGCTTTAGGAGCACGTCCCTTGAAAAAAGCTGGTTGGGGTGGAAAAGGGAAGGCCGGGAATCGATGAGCCGAGCGGGGGGCCCACAGGGGCTTCCAATATGTGTGCCCCCGCTTGGCCCTAGGCGATGCACAAAGAATCGATGCGAGGATGAGAAGTTTGAAACGAGCATCAGCTTAAACTTCTCCCCCATTTTGAGCTACGGAAATGGGAAGTTTGGGAAAAGGAAGGGGGAAAAAGATTGCGAAATCCCCCACTTGAATAGAGAAAAAAGGCAGCGTAGCTTTTGACATGAAAACGTGTTTCATAATTTTTGAATAAGAGATTTTGCGAACAAAATGTTAAACAAGTTTACGGGGTTCTTGCAAAAATTTGCTTTCAAAAATGATTTGCTCAAAGGGAAAGAGTTGAAAGACATTAACAACAAACTTGATAAGCTTTTTTTGGGTTCAATTTTGACTCAAAATGTTTGCTGGGTGTTTTAAGAAAAAAATTATGGCACCAAAGGAATCAAATCAAAAAAATTTTTGTCCTTTTGATCATGTGAATAAATTTGAAACTTTCAAATTGAAGAAAATATTGAGGATTTGAAGTTCAACTCAATAATAAACTTTAGCTCTATTTTCTGGTTAAACAATCAAACAAACAGATTAAGCCATTTTCTACTTTTAAACTAATTTAAGCTGTTCACGAGTATTCAAGATGGACTTGACTTTAGAATAACTCTAGAATATAGAAGAAGACTCAAAATACCTAGTTCTGTCATCTCACCTACTAGGTTTATAGAGATTTTAAGAAAAATATCAATCAATTTTGGATTTTTTGAGTTTATTTTATGGATATTGAATAAAAAAAGTAGCAAAAGAGGGAAATAAAATGTTTCTAGAAGAATTCTATGGGGGTGGCTACTTGGCGCCAAATTTTTTGCGCAACTCGCCATAACTTTCTTCAAAGTCGGCCAATTTTTATGATTTTCGTGTCATTTTGTTGCACTTATTAAGATCTACAAAATGACACCAAAACCAGAAAGATTGGTCCACTTAGAAGAAAGTTATGGCGAGTTGCGCAAAAAAAATTTGGAGCAAAGTAGCCACCCCCGATTTTACTTATTATTTTATTATTTTATTATATTATTATTTTATATTATTTTAATATCCATTTTTGGTAAAGTAAAGCTTCGAAAATTCAGAATACAAATACCGTAAATACTGTAATAGTACCCCACCCCCATAATGACGGTGCGGAGCGTTGCGTAGTCTAGCTTTGAACGAGTTTTTCTCAACACTGGTTTATGCTACAATGCGCGCTTAGGTATCAAAAAAAAGCCCTGAATTTCAGCTATTTTTTGATACCTAAGCGCGCATTATAGCATAGATCAGTGTCGAGAAAAACTCGTTCAAAACTAGACTACACAACACTCCGCACCGTCATTATCTTTGGTATCAAAAAATAGCCCTGAATTTCAGCTATTTTTTGATACCAAAGACGTATTTTTTGAAAGTACGCGTGCTTTGCAAAAAATGAAATACTAAAAAAACTTTTGCGACTACGCGACTGTACGTGGGCGGTGGGGTACTATTACAGTATTTACGGTAGAATACTAAATTTTCTAGCGTGCTATAATAGTTGGAGGGCAGTGTACATTCATCTCGATTGAGCCAGGGCGCACTAATTTTTGCTTCTAGGGTTTTTAATGGTGTAGATTCTTAATTTGGTGTTTATTTAAGCTTTAGTGACTGTTTTCTAGCTATTTCAAGCAATTACTGAGGTTTTAAGCCTCTTAATTCGGTCTCGCACCTCTGAACCCAGTGGAAAGAGAGCCACGCTTGAAGGCTCGAAATTGTTGCTCAAACTGACATAAAAGTTGTTCAGAATGGTTTGTAAATGCTTCCAATGGATTCAGCGCAATTAATTACTTCGGAAAAGTTTTTAAAACTAGTAGCAAGTTCGAAAAAATTGATGCTTACAAACTGTCCCCTTCCAACTACAGCTCTAATAATTTTAGCACCTTTTCTAGCTCTAATAATTTTTTGCAGAAGCAATCTAGCTATTGAATCTCGCTACTAGATAGTTTAAAAGCTGTTTTCTATAATATTCTTCATTGAGCTAAAACAAAATTCAGTTTTTGAGGTTTAGGAAGACTTTAGGGAGGCTGCAGAACTTAGCGTACCGATTTCTATTTTTAGCAAAATAGAAATCCAGCATGAAACTGCGTAAGACAGTAGTTACCGTATTTCTTCGAATAGAAGACCGGGTAAAGATTATGATCGCGTACTCCTGCGTAGCAGCCCTTTTTAAAATTTCTTTTCTGCATAAAAGCTTTCAATCAAGTGCTATAGAGCTGGAAAATGGCTCAAAAATCTGTTAGCTCATGTGGTATTTTTGAGCCATTTTCCAGCCCTAAAGCACTTGATTGAAAGCTTTTATGCAGAAAAGAAATTTTAAAAAGGGCTGCTACGCAGGAGTATGCGATGATACTCTTTACCCGATCTTCTATTCGAAGAAATACGGTAATAGTAAAATGATAGTTGGACTCGTTTTCTTGATGCATTTATAAAGAAAGGCTAGATTCTAGTCATGTTTTACTAATTGAAACAACTATTGTAGAGTTTTAAAAGTAAAGTGCTGCAGTGGATGTTTTGATTTACTTTTCGGATCTACTCGAATCAATTTCAGCTGTTCAATCAGCTGTTCAAATGAAATTTTCAGATTCAGATAGGCTAAATTCTTTGTTCAATATTGTTTTTGCATTTTCTCATTTCCCAAATCGTTAAACACCTTTATCATAACAAAATTGTGTGTATCCAATTTGCCAAATAAAAACTTCACAAAAATTTTACACCTTTAAACTCTTTTCTAAAGAAATTCAGTGAAAGAAAAACTACTAGATAAACTTTTTTTTTTCGAATATTAAATTAACTTTGCAAGAGGGGTAAACGGGCTAGAATTTCATGGGAGTTGCTCCAGAAATCCGCCAAAAGAGATCGAGGAGAAAAAAATGAAAAAAAAAACGACCTTAGGAGCAGATATATGGGTTTGGATTATTTTAGAAAAATAAATGAGAAAGTTTTTCGAGAAATTCACGGGGAGATTGAAAGAGAGAAAGAGAGAAATTTATCAGATCATTTAAGCGTAGGTTGTGGGGGAGAGAAGGGAGTGATGGGGTGATTGGTGGTACCCGGTCGAAGCTCTAGTTTCCTCCATCAGCGTTGTCTCCTTGGTCATCATCTCCGGCGGCATCCGAGGTCCACAAAGTGAGATTGTCCCTCAACAATTGCATGATGAGGGTTGAGTCCTTGTAGGAGTCCTCGTTTAGGGTGTCCAACTCAGCGATCGCGTCATCGAACGCCTAGAAATTAAGTGGATTAGACTTGGTACTTGATTATCTATTCTTAAATCTTGATTCTTCGATTATTGATTATTTAATCCTTCTATAGCTTCCCTATTTCAATATAAATTTTCAATATAATCCCTACTTCTTTCTACATTTCACCAAAGATCCCACACAAGTTTGGATCCTTTTCTATACAACAGATATTATTACAGTCTACTGTAGCTTACTGTAGCTTACTGTAGCTTGCTGTAGCTCTGTAGCTTGCTCTAGCTTACTGTAGCTTACTGTAGCTTAGTCTACTGTAACTCTATGTTTGCTAGAGGCTTTTTATCTTTAATCTATGTGTACTTTGACTCACTGATGACTCAAGTCTGACTATTGATTGATTAGCTAAACATTGAAGGCAAACGATCAGACTGATGATTCAATTCTATTCAAAAAGTATACTTAATCAATATGCGATCAATATCTAATCAATAAATTTGTCAATATTCAATAAATAAGTTGTCAACATCCTTGTCAATATCTCTATCAATCTCCAATCAATAAGTTGTTTACCCCATTGCCCCTGCAAACACTCTCCCTTTCTCTTTCTCTTTCTCTTTCTCTTTCTCTATCTCTTTCTCTTTCTCTTTCCACAAAAATCGATAAGATCCTAGATTCCTAGGGTCAACTGATATCAGTGAATACATCTCAAGAAATCTATTACGCAAATTTCAAATGTCAGCCTTTCTTTCTCAAATTGAACCTGTTTTGCGAGTTGACAGGCCCGATCGGGACTGTGTGCGACCTCGTAAAAGAAAACCGAGTAATTCAGCGCAAGCCCCAATCGAACCGAGTGCGTTGTGGGGAGATTTCCCTTTGCCAATTCTTGTGCCTCTCCATATGCGGTTTGAGCGGCATTCGCTTGTGCTAGAAAATCCCAAATGAACACACCTGTTTCGCCAATTGGCACGCCTTATCTGGCGCATTCAAGATCTCGTAGTAGAACACCGAGAAGTTGAGCGCCAAACCGAGCCGAATCGGGTGCGTGGGTTGCATTTTGTCCTTGGCGATGTCGAAAGCCTCTTGGTAGGATTGTTGAGACTTGTCGACAACGGCTACAAAAACATTTGTTAAAACAAAAACTGGTTTTTTTTTGTTCTAGACTAGAGACTAACGTGCATCTCCTAGGTGCCCCGATTCGACTCGCCAAAAAGATGGGACAGTACACAGCAAAGAGTTTTCTCTTAGGCACTCGAGGGGATGCAAGTTAGTGTAAAGGGGTAGGTGTACCTGCACGATCCTCTCCAGAAGCCACCTCAGCAAGATAGCGATAGTAATCTCCTTTCATCTTTAAGTAGAACACCTTGCTCTCTGGATTCCCAGCCTTTGGGATCAAGAACTTGTCCAAGAGAGTCTAAAAGGTACTCTTGTAAGTTCTACTCTTGTAGAATTAAAGCTAAAGCAGACAAAGCTTTAAGATTTCTGACTAATTCGATAAGCAAACTACAGTAGAATCTTGTCTAGAATTTTGTCTAGAACTTGCTGTCTAGAACTACAGTAGATTCTTGTCTAGAAATACAGTAGATTCTTGTCTAGAAATACAGTAGATTCTTGTCTAGAACTACAGTAGATTCTTGTCTAGAACTACAGTAGATTCTTGTCTAGAACTACAGTAGATTCTTGTCTAGAAATACAGTAGATTCTTGTCTAGAACTACAGTAGATTCTTGTCTAGAACTACAGTAGATTCTTGTCTAGAAATACAGTAGATTCTTGTCTAGAACTACAGTAGATTCTTGTCTAGAAATACAGTAGACTCTTGTCTAGAAGCTGTCCAGAAGCTGTCTAGAACTACAGTAGATTCTTGTCTAGAAGTTGTCTACCAATTGCCTAACAAGTCTACATTTCTAAAACGTCTATAACTTCTAATAAACTCAAGCTATCTCTAATAAATCTTTTCTCAACAACTCACCAAAACATCCTGGCAAATATCGCGGAGTTCCTTCTCGACTTTTTCTCTGTACTCTTTAGCCATTTGTTGTTTCTTCTCACTTCCTTCAGTCTTTTGCTCGATTGAGCTGATCACACGCCATGATGAGCGACGAGCTCCAACCACATTCTTGTAGGCAACTGAGAGAAGATTTCGTTCCTCATTCGAAAGTTCAGCTCCCAACTCAGTGACACGTTTCATCGACTGAGCCATATCATCGTATCTCTCAGCCTAAAAATTTGAATTTAATCAATATGATAGTTTTATTTCAAAAAAAACTTCTAAACTCATTGCAAAACCATCATTCGAACCTGTTCAGCCAACTTGGCCTTCTGCACGAGCTCGTCCTTTGCGTCAGTCATCTTTTAAAGAGCTTTATGAAGGGTAGGATTGGTGTAGGTCTGTTACTGAAAATTTCTGAAACAATCAAACACAAATAAATTAAAAGTTCGGTAAAGGAAAAGGAAAAGGAAAAGTGGTGGACATAGCGCCGACAATGACACGAGCCCCCATTCCCCTCGCTCTGCCCCCCTCTTGCGGGCCAATTTCGCGCGAGCACAGGGGTTTCTCTCATCCGTGTGCTCTCCTAGCGCACACACATTTTCTTCATCTTATTCCTTAAAATAAAAAAGATTTTGCAAAAAATAAGAAAAAAAATGAAAATTTCATTAAATTCTCAACATAATTATATAAAGAATCATTTGTTTAAATGAAAATTTCCTATAGAAGTCTGATTTATTGGGTTTTTAGTGAAATCATTGTGACTGAATAGCGGGGATCGGCGGGGCGGGAGCACCTTTTTCTGGGCTACAACGAGGGGTCGTTTCTCTCAAAGCCGACCCTCCTAGCGCACACGCTTCTCCACGATTTTACATGACAAAAAGCTAAACATTGACATAAACTTCTTAAATAAAAGTTCTTCTTCAAAAGATTCTCTATCGATTAATGGTAATTATAATAGATTATAATAGATTTTAGATTTTCTTTCTTGGAATCTAAAAGATGTGCACACGGCTGAATAACAGGGACGAGCAAAGGGGGCGGAGAGAAGATCGATGTGTGCCGGCGGGCTGACCATGCCTCCAGTAAACAACCCCTAATTAAGAGCCGCTGCGGGCCCTCTTCGGGCCCCAACTCTCCCCTAGAGGCCTAGAAGTTTGAAAAGAGTATCAAATCGAAGCCTTTACATTGTACATTTAGAAATCTAGAATTTTAAAGTTCATAATATTAGATAATCTTATCGTTTAGAGCATAAAAATAAAGCTTTTTTTTCTTTTTTTATTTATCTAGAGTTAAAATAGATAGATTTTTGTGCTATTTTTAAGTAATTCTTTCAATTTATCACTTAAATAAACAGAAATTCCAGCTTGGTCATTTTTATTAAAGTTTAGAACAGCTGTCCGAGGAAAGATTGCTGTGTGGAGGGATCTTTTCACTCGCCAATCCCTCCTCTTTTCCATTGAGTGTAATGAATAACCTCTACACTTCTCAAAAACGATTCACCGACGAGCGATCAGTGATTGACATAAAAACTAGCCTCTTAAACGAAAAAGAAATTTCATCACTACCAAATGGTAAACAAATTCTTTCCTTACGTGGATTTTAAAACAAGGGACTTATCAAAGTGATGAGTACATTAAAACTACATTACTTACTTACTTACTTACTTACTTACTTAATTACTTCCTTCCTTCCTTCCTTCCATCCTTCCCTCCCTCCTTCCTTCCTTCCCTCCCTCCTTCCTTCTTTCCTTCCTCCTTCCCCTCCCTCCTTCCTTCCTTCCTTCCCTCCTTCCTTCCTTCCTTCCCTCCTTCCTTCCCTCCTTCCTTCCTTCCTTCCTTCCTTTCTTCCTTCCTTCTACATCACTTAAATCAATCTTCTAATAAACTGCAAACAAATTCTATAAACTTGTAAAGTTTAGAATCAAATCAAGAACCAAAATTGATCAGTTTTTTAATCAATTGATCGACTTGATCAGTTTTATATATAGTGCTGGCTTTAGAACGATTTTAGTTCAATTCTAGTTCAAAATCCCACATCTTTAGCACATTATGATCTATAGTTTGACGAAAAAATCCAGTCATCTCAAAAGGTGTGTGTTTTGTTCATGGGGAAAAGGGCTGACTATCAAAGGACAAGGCCGGAGATAGCTGCATATTTGTCCTTTCCTCTTTTCTCTCATTCATTCCCACCAATTCATTTTTCTCTTTATCCCCACCATAACAAAAGGGATTTGGAAAAGGAAAAGAATAGATTTCAATATCGAAAGCGGTTAACAAGTGGTAATTTTGGGATAGAGAAAATTGATTGAACACATTTTCCCACATTACTGACTGTTAACTTCAAATTACTGACTCTGCTGATTACTGATTACTGCTGACAAATTGCTGATTACTTACCGTTAACTTCAATTTTAAACAATCAATAATCACTTTAGGGTTTATTTTTCGGTTTAATTTTAAATTTTATTGTTTAAAGAAGAAATTTGAAGAAGTTTAAAGTCATGGTGAGTCATGTGCTCTAGTTTCAGCTATTTTAATGAAATCGTAGGCGTTTTTTGTCACTTCTTACTCACTCATTTCATTCTTTTCCCCATTTTTATTCTCATTCTCAATATTCTTGATAAATTACTTGCTTAATTTATTGAAGAACTTTCAGTACTTGTTGATGTAGTTGATTTTAAAACCAGACTCCGAGCACCAATAGAATCTCGGCAATTCTAGGGGAGTTTGTCCGTTCAAAATCTCAATCGATGTACACAAGTTTTGATTGTAAACATCATGGATCCCAGTTGACTCTTTCCCTTTTCATCACATCTCCCATTTCAAATCGAAAACAATCCCTATGCCGAGTTTTCTGTCATTTCAAAAACATGACTGTTTTTCTCAAATTTCTTCACGCCTTCCCTTTGCAATTGGAAAGAGCGAAATCCTAAAAATAAACACACTCTGTAAAAGCATTTGGATTTTTGTTTAAATATTTTCAAGTATTCTTTGTAATCTTTATATAAATAACTTTATATTCAACTAAATATTCAAAAAAAAGCACCAGTTTGATATGACTAACCTCTATGCAATTCCTCTATCAATCAATTCAGAAAAAAAAAGAAATAAATGAAATTCTGTGAATTGTACAATAAAAAATAAATTAAAAAAAGGAAATTTAAAGAGAAATTGAAGAAAAGGAGAGATTGCAGCAGCAAGAAAATCAAGCAGCAAGAAAATCAAGTAGCAAGAAAATCAAGCAGCAAGAAAATCAAGTAGCAAGAAAATCAAGCAACAAGAAAATCAAGCAGCAAGAAAATCAAGCAACAAGAAAATCAAGCAGCAAGAAAATCAAAACATTACTTTACAATTAGCATCTTCTAAAAAGCATTTTTTTATACAATTACCGTAATTCGACTGTAGCATTATATTCTAAAAATAATGTTACAACAAGTTTAACATTGAATTCTATAGCAATGATACCGTAACCTTACAAAGCAATCTAAAAAGCAAATTGTCATACTAAACTTTCATATCCCTAAAAGACAATTTTATACAGTACCCAACTCAAATTGTCCAGACATGCAAATCTTTGCGTACACAAGCCAAAATCATCGAGTTTCGAGGATGCACAGCGATGCGACTCACTCTGCAAATTGGATTTTAGGCTCTCTTTTCTCAACCCTGAAAATATTGGGCATATGTTTTTCTCAATTTTGATTCTCCTCTTTTGGCAATCGGAAATAGAAACCCCTGCCAGGTCACGCGACATTTTTGTGTTTTTATCAAACAGCCGAATGCGAAATTCAGGAGGGGAGATGCCATTTCCTATCTATTCCCATTTGAACAATCGAAATAACAATACAAATGAGAAATGACAACGTATAGCTAATAATTTTAGTTAATCCAGACAACGTATAGCATAACAATTGCTATATAAATATAGCAATTACTGTAATTTCCCGTAAACTTCTTAAACTTCAAGAAATTATCATTTACTTATTAAAGTATTCAATGTAAGTGAAACTCGGAAAACTTTTAGTTAAGCTGTTTTATTCTAACGGAAAAGTTGTTTAAGTGTTCTCAGAGCTCTGGAAAAAAAACTCATAAAAATAGTCAAGTGTTCTTATAGTTTGTAGCTTGATAGATCATCGATTTTGGTTAAAATTTGCATAAAAGTCAGTTTAAACAAGTGATTTTTTCAGTCTAAGTGCTTAAGTTGAAGTAAAAGTTCAACGATTAAATTGAAAACAAAAAGAAAAGTTGTGCTTATAATAGAGCTATAGTAAGAGCTATAGTAAGAGCTATAGTAAGAGCTATAGTAAGAGCTATAGTAAGAGCTACAGTAAGAGCTATAGAAGAGCTACAAAAGAGCTATAGTAAGAGCTACAGTAAGAGCTATAGTAAAAGCTATAGTAAGAGCTATAGTAAGAGCTATAGTAAGAGCTACAGTACTCTACAGTACTACTACAGTACTCAAAGTATGAGATCAATAAGGTCTACAGTACTAAAAGTATAGTAAAATCCACAGTATCCAAAGTATCTACAGTACCAAAAGCTTTCTGTACAAAGCCTAATGCCTCAATTCCTAAAGTCCTTCTGAATAGTTTCTACCGTAGTTTTGTCTCAATTTGTGTTTAGATTTAGTTTATTGAACAATTTCAAAGCTTTAAATGAAGCCAATCAACAAACTCAAGCCAACAGATCATTCACTAACTTGAAAGATCCCTTTTCACTTATCTGATAAGACAAAACTTGCTCAAAGGCCACACCCAATCCAATCCGTTCTCTGATTCTCAATTCCTTTTCAATTTCCTTTACAACTTACTTCTCATCATGTTGCAGATGTATCAATGGTTCTCCTCCATAATCTCTCGACCAAATCGTCACCTCTGTCTCGTGAGAACTAAATGAAATCCTTTTCTTTTGCTCTTTCTTTCTTTCTTTTTTTTTTCTTATCAAGTCCACTCATGCCCGCAATAATTCTTTGCTGAAAGGGATTTGCTTTCGTCACCCATGGTAACTCTGAATTGGGCTAGTGAAGAGAGTGTTAAGCTTTATTTAATAAAAGATCTTCCTAGCTAATTGGAATGGAAAAGATTTAGGGTAAATGAATTTTGATTTGAGATTGAGATTTTTGTTCAAAGTTACTGTAAGTTACAATAATTTATTAAAACCTAAGTACTAAAAGCCTAAGTATTTCCGGATTACGGTAGGTAGCAGGTTACTGCACTTACAGTAAGAAAATTCGGTTTAAAAAGCAATAGATCAAAAACTCAAGAAATTGAAGTTCTTCAAAGATTACTTTGTCTGCTAGTAGCTTTTTTTCAGTAACTTGTAACTTTGCTAACTACTAAAATCCGAGTATAAAACCGTCAAATCCTATTTTTCCTCAATTCATCAGCAATCATTCATCAATTCCTACAAAGATTTCCTTTTCCTTTGTGTCACCCCGGCAACTCTTCTTTTCAAAAACTTGTCTTTCCATGTCTTTTCCTTTCTTACAAGGGCATTTCACAGGTGGACCATTCACTCTATTCTTTTCGCGCCAAACTCACCCCCGGTCTGCATTTGAAATTTTTGCTACACGCTAAGTTTTTTTTGGGAGTGAGTGGGTAGGGAAAAGATTTCGTGTTCCTTTCTTTAAAAAGACAAACATAGCTGTTCCTTTTTTTGGGTGGAAAGGAAGGAAAAGACTATAGAAGGAAAGAAGGAAAGAGATTGAAATTTCGGCGAAAAGAGACAAAGAGTTACGAAATGATGACTTGGATGTTTCAGTCAGCATTCCGGTGAAGGGAATGGAGAACTGAGGGAGTGAAAGGGTTTCATTGCTGAGTCATCCATCCCCCTTCTCTCAATGATGATTAAACGTCCTGATTCAAACGAAATAACATCAAAAAATCTAACCAAAAAGGTGATCGATTGTGTTTTAAGGCTTTTGAATGTTCAGTGATGAGTAGAAACAAACATTACTTAACAAAATTGTAACAGGAACTGAAAAAAAATTGCAAACTAATCAGCTATCAAGTGGCTTATAGCTTTTAAATCTGAAGCTTATATGCAAATTTCACTAGGTTTCAAGTAAAATACTTGAAATCTTAAAATCTTTGTCTTTGCATTGACCTTAATTCTTCAAAATTCTCTCTTTTGATGTCACATTTGAGCTATTCCCTCCAAAACTTTTTCTTAACTCACAATTATTGAAAATTTTCTGTAATCATGAATCTAAATTATGCCAAGAAAGCGGAAAATTTAATAAATGGCGCAACAAATCAAGCAGAAATAGTTGATTCAAGGGAATTTTAGTCAAGTTTGCATTACAAAAGTTGATCGGAAGTTTAATTTTTTGTATTTAGCAGTTCAATTAAGGTTTAAATGTTTTAAAATGTTAAAATGTCAATAAAAACAATGTTTAAATACTCACCTGACAATCAAATTCTCACTCGTGCACGCGGCCAGTGTTCCCGTTTTTCCATAGGTGTGCTTCGGCTCAAAGATCATCTTCCCGAGATCGACTTGTCGGTGTTCAAGCTGAATTTGATTTATTCTTAAAAGCCAAGTTTTAGTTTGTCAAAGTTTTAAATCAATTGTGTACCGTACTTGAGTTCCAATCACATTGCCCTGATCATCTTCAACAACCGTCTCAAGCGCAACCATCAGAACTCTAAAGTATCATTTGAATGAATTGGTATCTTGAGCTCAAAATGTTAACGAAGCCTTTCGGGAGCTAGTGCGTCAGCAATTCAAACTATAATACTTACTTTTGATCTGATGATAGCTGAATGTCATGAATGGTGCCCGGCATTTCGATATAGTGATCCGGGTGATGGACTCGCTTCAAAACATAATCGATTCCATCAGTGCTAAAACAACAATGAAATTCAAATTCAAATCACCCAACTCATTTTCCTCTTCATCGTCCACCTCAATGCTCTTCAAGTTCAAGACTTTCCAAATCTAAAATCATAAAGTAATAAAAAAGAAGACATAGACATAGAAAAAATTAGTTGAAAGCATTGTTATACGTGATAGTTTTTTTTCTATTTTTATTAAGTAATCTATTTCCATTTGGGAAATAGATTACTTCGCGACATTTAAGCTCAAACGGCTAAAATAGCAGCTTAAATCCATTTCCATTTTATTCCAAAAAGTCAATTTTATCTTCTTTTATTATTTTTTTAGTTTTAAATATCAATAATTCAAAAAAGCTTACGAATTCTGGTGTGATCATCTTGAAGTTTAATCTCTCCGACAAGCCACCAGTGACATAAATGAGGAGTCGATCTTCTGGATGATGACATACACAGTTGCAGTCTGAATTTGAATAAGTTAGAAGTCTTTTATGCCACAGTTCTTGCATTTATAGCCAGTACTTAGTGCTTAAAAAATTAGCTTCTAACAAGTCTATCAAAAACAAGCCCACCTCTAGGAGATTACAAGTCAAAATCGATTTTCTTTTAGCCTTGACATTACAATCTATACCATCTCTTTATTCTTGCTTTCTTCCTTTTTTCTTCCTTCTTTCTTCCCACTCAGTTTTGTCACGGTCCAGAAGATGAGTCTTGCTTTCGTTTTTTTTCCATTCAACTCCCCAAATCATCAGTTTGTTTTGGCCTTCATTGTGGTCCGGCTATGAAAATTTCCGGATTCTCCACTCGGCTCCCAAATGGAAATGGATTTAAGCTTCTATTTTAGCCGTTTGAGCTTAAATGTCGCGAAGTAATCTATTTCCCAAATGGAAATAGATTACTTAATCTATTTTCTCATTTCAAAAAAAAAAAACTACCACGTATAACAATGCTTTCAACTAATTTCTGACGAAAAAATGATTTGAAAATGAAAAAGAAACGACGACGCGGCGCTCCCATCGACTACCTCCAAATGACGGCCACGTCAATTGGAATGCGACGTTGCGCGAAAATTAACATTGAAAATTTACGACAGAAATTCAAATTTAACAGTAGAAAAGGTAGAAAAACATTTTGTTATCTCTCAGAAAGCCTCTACCCTTTGTCTTTCCTTCTTTCTCTTGTCAAGTCAAGGTACTAAATAGCTCAGTGGCTAGAGTAATTGCAAAGCAAAAGGTCGACGGTTCAATCCCTCTCCAGAAATCTACTTCTCCTTGCCAACTCCTTCCCTCACTCACCTATACTCATCTCTTTTTGAATCCAAATTTCCCCATTCGACGTGGATGGAGTTGGATTGTGTTGTGAGAAGCATAAAGAGCAATCACTCTCCAAATCGAGAAGTCTCTTCAACGCATTCAACTCCTTTTCCCCATCTTCACATCCAATCTCAGCTCTTGTCTTCAACTCCAAAAGCTTCTCGGCTAACGACTAAATTTGAGGAGGCTTAAGAAAAAGTATTTTGAGAATTGAGAATTTGATTTAAATGGAAATCGATCTTCACTAACCGTTCCCTCCCATTTCGCTTCCTCTGCTAACTGTAAAATTCTTCGAAAACGAGCGGAGACTTTTTGAGCAACAAGCACTTGTTTTACATAGCCTGTACGATTTAAAAATCTAAAATATAATAATTTGTGAAATATTATCATGATATTATCAAAAACCTAACAAATGGGCAAACAATCGTATCAGCTATTGAGCTTTTATCCTTCGGTACACTGCACAACCATAACTGAGAGATTGATGTGCCAAATGCGGTTCTGAAACTAGAAATAAGACTTTATTTGAAGAGTTTAGAGAGATTACGGGATATTGAACTTGTAGAATTCTGCACTGATCACGAATTGGTTGTCAAACCAGCAACCACGGAAATCTTCTGGACTGCAGATCACTCGGCAAATGTAGTGAACAGAAAGGGATTCAGCTAGAAAGAGAATCTGGATAAATTGTAAATTCAAGGATCTTTGCCTGTTAGATTTAAAAGTTTGTGGAAAATCTGATTGCCATTAGCAATTCAACTTTAAGCTCAAATTTGTTCTTGTTGGGTTGTCCAATATAAATAGTTTTTATAATAATCGATAGGGAAAGATTTGGCGCATCTAATGAGATCAAGAATGTTTTCGTTGGGGGGGTTGTTTGGGGGGGGTTTTGGGTTTGGGGTGGGGGGGGGGGGGGGGGGGGGGGGGGGGCCCCCCTCCCCCCTCCTTTTCCCTTTTCCCTTTTTTTTTTTAATTTTTTTTTGTTTTTTTTTTTTTTTTTTTTTTTTTTTTTTTTTTTTTTTTAATTTTTTTTTTTTTTTTTTTTTTTTATTTTTTTTTTTTTTTTTTTTTAAAATAAAAAAAAAATTATTTTTTTTTTTTTGGTTTTTTTTTGGTGGGGGGGGGGGGGGGGGGGGGGGGGGTTTTTTTTCCCCCCCTTTTTTTTTTTTTTTATATTTTTTTTTTAAATTTTTTTTTTTTTTTTTTTTTTTTTTTTTTTTTTTTTTTTTTTTAAAATATTTTTAAAAAGTTTTTGTAATTTTATTAAAATAAAATGTTGAAATTCGATAGCCAGAAACCAAGAAATTTAGGCTTAAAGTTGAATTGCTTGTTCAATAACTTGTTCAATGTTCAATAACCTTTTAAAATATTACAATTTATGCTAAACGATGCGAATTCCCGTTTTCCGTCATTTCTAATGCCATTGACGAGTACTCGGCTCTCATCCGGTGAGAAATCAATTCGATCAGCTGTTCGCCAGCTTAGATATTCATTGAGATCTCTTTCGTGGAAAAACTCCATCGAATCAGAAAGACAAAGCTAAAGATTTGACTTTTAAACAATTTAAAAGCTTTAAAAGCTTTACCCAGAACATCCCATTTACTCCAGTAACACCAAAATAACGCCCAGTTAAGGAAAAAGCCACCGCCGAAAGTTCAGTCTCAAAATCATCGACAATCTGAAAGTTTTAAGACGTTAGAAAGTTGTTTTTAAGATGTTTAAAACTTACTTGTACTTTTGTTTTTGGCAAATCATTTTTGAAAAAAACATATTCATCAAAAAAGGAATCCGTAATCTGCAAAGGATTTTTTTTTTTAAAGATTAAAAAATTTCTAAACTACTTTCACTTTTTCATCTAACCATAATGGATATTTTTCATTAAAGACGCCTTTCCATAAACGATCATTTCGAGAGACAATATACCAATGTCTAAATTTAGTAATGATTAAGTTTGTTTTGATTTTATGCTTTTTGAGAAGTTTTTTGTGTATGAAAGATCTTTGTATGAAAGAATAGAATACCGTATTTTCTCTAATAGTAGTGAACCCCGCCGAGTTGATGACTATTTACTATTTCAAAGCTTTCACAGAAGCTCAACACTCTAACCACCCACTAGATCTCATCGTCAGCTACATTTTCCGACCCCACATCGATAGGTTCTGATAAGCGGTTCTTGAGATTTCGAGGAATTTAGACGACGCTTAGGGCGCACTATTATTAGAAAATACGGTAGTTTAGTTTATCTAGTTTTCAAGAGGAGATTCAGGGCTATTGAATGATTAGAATACCGTATTTTCTCTAATAGTAGTGCACCCCGCCGAGTTGATGACTATTTACAGGTTCCAAAGTTTTCACAGAAGCTCAACACTCTAATCCCCTACTAGATCTCATCGCCAGCTACATTTTCCAACTCCACATCAATAGGTTCTGATAAGCGGTTCTCGAGATTTCGAACAATTTAGGCAACGCTCAGATATTGAAAGCTCTACAATATCTACAAAGTCTAGAAAACTCAAAGCTATCTTTATCTTTATCAAATCATATGTAGAGCTATACTCAAATACCGTATTTTCTCTAATAGTAGTGAACCCCGCCGAGTTGATCACTATTTACAACTTCCAAAGCTTTTACAGAAGCTTAACACTCTAATTATCTTCAAGATCTCATCGTCAGCTACATTTTCCGAACCCACATCGATAGGTTCTAATAATCGGTTTTCGAGATTTCGAACAATTTAGGCGAAGCTTAGGGTGCACTACTATTAGGGAAAATACGGTAAGCTTTTTGTTGTTATTTGAAAATCTTTAAGCCATATGCAATGCAATCGGCTAAATCCGTTAGATTGCTCGAAAACCGAAAACCGATCGATTGAAGACAAGACATTAAAATTCAATATCTTTCTATCCAATCCAATATTCAATATCTTTCTATAGAATCTCCTACTTAAACTCTTCAACATTTAACACTGACCTGTTCACACCTCCAGCTTTTGCTAAATCTTTTGCAGAAAGATTTGAGAGAATTTCTTCCAAAAGATGTTCCAATAATTGATCCCATTGGGGACAATTCATTTTTAAAGCAAAAGATTTCTCATTTACTTTACTGAATAAGCTTATTCGTGAATTTCTATAAGTAAACATTGATGGAATTCTTTTGAGAATAAAATGTTAGGAATTGAAGAAATGATGAAAGAGAAGAGATCTTTTGAAAGGGATAAAGTCAACAATCTCTCGAGAACCGTCACTTCCAAACAGCTTTATATTTTGGAGTAAAGCCAAAATGTGGTTGCAGTTTAGAAAGTAATATTATAATAACATTGAAAAGTTTTCAGGTTAAAGATTTCTAGTTTTCCTAGTTTTCTATTCCTTTAAAGAATCCCATTTTTTCAAATGTTAAAGTATTCTTAAAAATCTAAAAATTCGTATAAAAGAATTAGTTTAACATTAAGTTTTATTTAAAAATATTACCTACCGTATTTACTCTATTAGTGGGGTCCCCCACTATTTTTTCAATCCCCTTCCAGACGACCCCACTATTAGAGAGGACCCCACTATTAGAGAAAATTTAAAAGAACATAAAACCAAAGTTTTAAATTGAAAAGATATCAATTTTTCTCCGAAATTCTTGAAAAAACAAGTTTGGCTTCATATTTTATTTAGCTTTAACCGTAACAAAACATTAACAAACAATAAAAGAACTAATCCAAGAGATCAACAATTGATGTATCACTTTCGTTACCAATATCTTCTTCCAATTCGAGAGGACCCCACTATTTTTTCAACCCCCCTCCAGACGACCCCACTAATAGAGTAAATACGGTAATCAAAATCAAAAACTTAAGAAATTCGGATAAAGTTGTTGTATTGATTTGATATACAGGGTGCGGCAAAAGTTCTGACACTTTTTGTAAACGGGCAGTTTGACTTGGAAAAAACGCGATTTTTGAAAAACTAACACCGGATTATAAAAATTCAGATATTTTTACCCCTTAATATGCTTTTTTACACAAAAATTGCCATCTAAACAACCTTTTGATGAGGATGTTTTAAAGGTCGTTACAGCAGTTTTTTTTTTGCTGTTGAGATTTGGGTGCCCTTCGTAGGATCGCTTGAAAATCTTTCGTTTTTAAGATATAAATTTTTTTGTGACTTGTTTTCAAGAAAAAACTCAGTTCTATCAAATGGTAACAGCAGTTTTTGGAAAAAATTTCATTCTGCAAAGTTTAAGTCAACTTTCGCAAAAAGCTTCAGCGACCAGACCGGGATATAAAAAATTCTCGTCAAAAAGTTATTGAGAGTTGAAATCTTTTCATGAAAATGGCTATATTGGGGTGAAACTACCTAAATTTTTAGAATCCGGCGTTAGTTTTTTTGAAATTCACGGGTTTTTGAAGCCAAAAAAATTACTGCTTACAGAAAAAGTGTCAGAAGTTTTGCCGCACCCTGTATATGTTGTGTCCGATTTAGATTTCCATCCGATTTAGATTGAACTTATCGCGGACGTCCGATTTAGATTCAATCTAAATCTTATATAGATTGAACAATAATATAAACATGCTTAATATATGTTCTTAAGCGTTTTCTGTAGTTTTCTGCATTTTTCAAAGATCTTTTATTGATTACAGTCTATATCGGACGTCCGATACAGATCGAACAATAATAAACGTGTTTAATATATTGTCTGTGAACGTTTTTAGACAAGCTATCAAGCATATCTATATAAGACGTATTATTGTTCAATCTATATAAGATTTAGATTGAATCTAAGTCGGGCGGAAATCTAAATCGGACACAACATATATACCGTATTTTCTTTAATAGTAGTGCACCCCGGCGAGCCGAGTTGGTGACTATTTTACGGTTTCCAAGCTTTTGCAGAAGCTCAACACTCAAATCCTTCACTAGATCTCATCGTCAGCTACATTTTCCAACCCCACATCGATCGGTTCTGATAAGCAGTTCTCGAGATTTCGAGCAATTTAGATGACGCTCAGGGTGCACTACTATTAGAGAAAATACGGGAAATACTTTATTTAGAAAGAAATAAAGTGCGAAAACGACATGAAAAATGTAGCAGATAAAAGATGACAAAGTCACTTAAAATGCAACGAAGTAGCTCTTTACAACGAAGTAGTAAAATCAGACACGGTGGAGATCAAACGCAACTTGTCGGGAAGGGTATTCTAAACTTTAATTACACGATTTACAAAAAAAGCTCTAGAGGATTTAGAGAAAGCAGATTCGGGATGCAAGATGATTGATTGATTTGATTGATTTATTTACTTAAAAACTTGTTAAAAGCATTACTATCCTTGTTATTTAACATTTATTTTATAACTTTATTCGTAATTTTAGTTCCTCAACAAGCTTTTCTTTTCCTTTTTTCTTTTTAGTGTAAAAATCTCTTTGGAATTGAAAAAAATTGAAAAATCAGCTGTTTTCCTAAAGAAAAGAAGAATTATTTCAAAGTGTTAAATAAAAAAAGACTACTAATTAATAAAATAATTAATTTGTAAGTCATTTATAATCTATAGAAAGTGAAAGAACATTGGAAAACGGAAGTTTTATGGATTGTTACGTGAAAAAAAAGTTTAAGGGAAGAGAATGTAGTGTCTAGTGACAACTGGCTCTCTTGTGAGATTTTTTTTCAGCTCACACAAATGGTTGCAAGGTGGGAAAGGATGGCTGTAACACACGGGAATGACCCAAACTCATGTCATCACGTTTTTCTACTTTTCAAAAGTTTAACTTACCTGAAAGGTAACTTGAGCGAAGAACTTAAAGAAATTCTCTTGAGGTCTTCTATTAGGTTGATGCATAAGTGTTTTTGTTCCTTTTCGTCTGCCGTTTCAAGCTAACAAATGCACCAATTAAACTACGGTTGATTTCATTAGAAAAAGCAATTATTTTTCTGCAAAATAACATTAAAACGGGTTTAAAAATATTTAATGCCTGGATTTTCTTGAGAGTATGAAGTCGGGTAGTCAAAAAGGGCTAACTCGATGATGCGGTTTAGGCTCAGGCTCAGGCTCAGGCTAAGCCTCAGCCTAAGCCTGAGCCTGAGCCTGAGCGGTTTAGACACCTTAGCTAAAGAAAACCTATCTTCGTGTCAATAGATAAAAGATAGAGAAAAAAAACGTTTGATATTTCGCCAAAATTTCAGAGAAATTCATTCAGCCAATTTTTCCGTAGAGTTTTTTATAGATTTTTACGAAAAAGGCGTTTTTCACTCTCGAATTTGCTTGAAAGTGAACCGAAATTCATTTAAAAAGATGCAAATTGAACAAAAAAACACTTTTTTTTATAGAGCAAACTATAGATTAATTCGTGAATTTGTTACTTTTTAACAGAAGTACGAAAAAAACGAAAAGACTTATGCATCAACCTATTATTTTAAAGTCAAAAGTAAGTCTAACAAAGTAAAGTATAATCTGTGCACGAGATCAAATGCGTTTAAAGACAAAGCTAGTGTTCTAACTAGTAAGAAAATTTCTGTACCTGGGATTTGTTCAAGTAGTATCGGTTAGTTCTCACTGGCTCTTACTGGCTAAAGGCTAACTGGTAGGATCGGTTAGATCTTACCTATGCTACCAGTTTAGAGCCTGTGCACCAGATCAAATGCATTTGCAGCCAAATCTAGTGTTCTAACTAGTAAGGAAATTTCGGTACCTGCTATTTGTCCAAGTAGTATCGGTTAGTTCTCACTGGCTATCACTGGCTAACTGATAGGATCGGTTAGTTCTTACTGACTCTCAATGGCTAACTGGTAATATCGGTTAGTTCTCACTGGCTCTCAATGGCTAACTGATAGGATTGGTTAGTTCTCACCAGCTCTCAATTGCTAACTAGTAGTATCGCTTAGTTCTCACTGGCTCTCAATGACTAACTAGTAGGATCGGTTAGATCTTACCTATGCTACCAGTAATCAAGATATCAAAAGCGCTTATAAATAAATCCATTTGTAAACTAATATCCAAAGCAAATCTAGAACAAACTACTCTCGTTTGAAAAATGAACCCAACACAAAAAACGGGCTGTCAATGTTTTTTTGTGCTTTGGCCTCTTTGATGGGTGAACACTTTCAGATGTGTCTCATCACTTTAGTGTGTGTCTGTGTCTCATCGACGGACATCACTTTAGAGAAGGAAACTGGTGTAATGTCTAAAAAATGATTGTGCTTTCAGTAAATGGTTTGAAAAGGATTTTTACAGGATCAAAGTGTAATGGTTGAAAAAACATGCTATCTTAAGGATCTCAAAATTATAGTAAAGGTTGCTGTTGAAATTGATGCAATGAGATCGATGATTTTTTCGACTTTCGAAATGAAGTGAATCAGAAAATGAAGTTTTTGTGATCAGAAAAGTCTGTGTTAAGTTAAAAACATAACTCAAAACAAGTAAAGTTAGATGAAATTGCTTTTTTGGAGTTGGTCGCTGATTTTGCTTGACGAAAAGCTTATTTCAAGAGCTACAAAAAGTTCGTTGGTGAGTAAAGAAGAGTATAACTGAACGAACATTAGTCTAGATGTAAATTAAACTTTTAGAAGAATTTTAGAAGATCGTTAGGAGCTTTTGTTTAGCTTCATTACTCATATCATGAAGGTTTTCTATTACTATTCAACTCCATTACTCATATCATCATCAGAAGTTAATGAAAAGAAGTTACCGTATTTTTTCTAATAGTAGTGCACGCGTTTTTGACTGAGTTGGTGACTATTTTACTATTTCAAAGCTTTTGCAGAAGCTCAACACTCTAACCCCCCACAAGATCACATCATCAGCTACATTTTCCAACCCCACATCGATAGGTTCTGATAAGCGGTTCTCGAGATTTCGAGGAATTTAGGCGACGCTCTGGGTGCACTACTATTAGAGAAAATACGGTATTGCTTGATATTTTAAGAACAGACGTAATAATACAAAAATCTGGGTGATCACGATCCTTTTCGTCGACGAGTTCCAGAGATTGCTTTGTATGGAGGGACTTCATTCTAAGTTTGAGTTTATTTTTGAAAGTTTTCGATTCAAACAATGATGAAAAGGGTAAAGATTTTGAAGTTTAACAGTTCAGAGTACTGGTACAAAAAGATAATTACAAGGTTTTTCAAGAAAAAAGTCTACTTTCTCCCAAATCCATATACCGTATTCTCTCTAATAGTAGTGCACCACCGAGTTGATGACTATTTTACAGCTTCCAAAGTTTTCACAGAAGCTCAATACTCTAATCTCCTGCAAGATCTCATCGTCAGCTACATTTTCCGACCCCACATCGATAGGCTCTGATAAGCGGTTCTCGAGATTTCGAGGAATTTAGACGACGCTCAGGGTGCACTACTATTAGAGAAAATACGGTAATTGATGAACCTTTTTTCCTTTCCATTCATTTAATAAGCCCGTTAACTTTTGAACAAGATTTTCAATCAAAATAAAGATCATCTATAGTCAATAACTACAAGAAAATCTTCCTTTCATTTTTTTTCCTCTATTTGTCTTTTAATCTTTTTTCTTTATTTTACTATTTTGATTCTTAACGATGATTCAAAAATGACAAAAAATCCATTTTTACATTAGATTTTTTTTGGACTTAAACCAAATTGAGTACAAAAAGTTCATTTCAAATTTCACTCACAAAAATCTCTGCACATTTACACAAAGAATTACAATGTTTTCTTATCTTTATCATACACAGATATGAGATCAATTGATATGATTGATGTTTTGTGTTCATTCATAGATCCCTGACATGAGTCCTCATATGCGTATGAAGATTGCTGGCTCGATTAAACGCTTTGTCACATTCGATACACACATAGGGTTTTGCCTAAACATTTCCTTATATTCTCGTGGGTTTTCAAATCCAACCAAGAATCCAACCGTTGTGTGAGTGAGGCGATGTCGAGTGAGATTTCCCGGTTGACGAAACGCGCGCCCACAGTGCTCACATTTAAACGGCTTCTCGCCGGTATGGATTCTCTGAAATTTTTAGTGTTTTGTTTTAGGAAAAATTAGTCTTATGCAAGCTATTTGAGATCTCAGCTATCTCAGAAATATTAGAAAATAAAAATTTTCGAAAGTTTTTAGCTGCTAAATAACTGATACAAGGTTTCAAAGTTTTTAGCTGAAAATTAAACATTTTTGGGGACTCTCTAAAGGCAACAACTTGGCACTCTTTAAAGGGAAATCCGCAGACGCCCACCCTCGTTAGCCGGGTGGCCTTGTGGTTAGGAGCCTGGGCTAGTAATCCGATAGTCCCTGGTTCGGCTTGATCTGGGGCTTTTCTTTACTTTTTTTTGCTTTCTTCTGGTTTTTCACTACTAAAGGACAATTAATCAATCTAGATTGGCTATTAGTCGTCCAATGTCCTAGCTCAAGGTTAATTTCTGCTATCTTAAGCAATTCTGTCAGTCCTAGCTTACATTTACTATCACAATTCAGTTGAGTCAAGCTCATGCTACCATTGTGCAAGGCTATGATTTATAAAAATATGCTATTTGGAAAAACTATCCAATTCAGCTAGTTATGGCTTAAGAATTTAAGGCTATAGGCTTATAATGATCAATTTATTAAGACAATAACTAAGGCTAAAGCTACAGGCTAAAGAATTTGATGAATGTACTCCCTCCTTCCAAATATCCACAAGAAGAAGCGATATGCCTAGCACGAAGCAAGAATCAATTCAATCTGTCAAAGGTGTCACGTCTTTTTCTCATCTCAATCGGAATATGGAATTCAAGAGATGAAAAGGGGCACTTCATTAGCGATCCCTTCCTTTTCTCCCATCCAATGGATGAGCTTTGCGGCATTGTCTCCTCCTCGATGTGTGACCCATCTCATCGCTTATTCTCAATTCTGGCGGGCGACAAATTTTGGAAAGAAATTGATATGTCAATGAGGTTTTAGGAATAGGAGTTTAACTTAAAGTGATTAGAGAGTTTGGAAAGCGTTGCCTAGTCTTTGGGAAAATCTTGGTTTGATGAGTTCACAAGCTGGCTGGCTAATCCTATGCTCCATGGACTTCTAAATAAGAAAAAAAAATCTCTATGTGCCTCGAGGTATTCTTTGTTCGTGGTTTGGAGGAATATTTGCCTCTTGTTCATCAGAAAATGTCCGAAAAATCAGTTAATTCTCATGCCCAATCTCAAATAGGCCTAGGAGGTCTAGATCTCAAGTCCCAATTGGCAGAATAGACAAAATGAATAGCACCAATCGATTCACCGACCCCGAAAACCCCCAGGTACAAATTTACAGCTCAATAGATTTTTGGATCATCAACAAAGCAAAAGAAAAATCTCTAAGTAAATGACTGGTAAGGGGTGCTTTGTGCGCGCTCGTAATCGTTCGCGATCTGGCAAATCCCTCTAGCATAAGGGGCTTCCCTTTCACCAACGCTAAACAAGAAGGGACGATGAGCGATTGGGCCGGCTCCCCCCACTAGGCCGGAACTCTGCCCCAAACTCTGCCCCAAACTCTGGCCGAAACTCTGGCCGAAACTAGGCCGAAACTCTTGCGAAGAATTCTTGCCTTAAGTTTGGCTGTTTGCTCGCAACAAATTCTAAATCTCGTTAAGCCAAAATGATCTGAAATCAACCGTTGATCAACCGACAGACTTTACTTCTTTCATTCGGAAACTTTTTGATTATTATTATTATTATTATTATGATTATTATCTCAAGTTCTACATCTCAACCAAATGTCTCCCATGCGATGGAGTGTTGACAAATTTGCACTCACAAATGTGGTAAATGTTGGATGTGATAGGGATCGGGTAATTAGGATGAGAAGAGGGCGAGAAAGGGGTTCAGGTCAAGACACTTGTTCTCCCCATCAATTGGTTGAAGAAAGAGAAAGGGATTTGGATGGCCTGACATGACATGGAAACCAACATTTGCGCAATCTTGTCTACCATTTGGTGTTTTTAAAGGAAAGGGGAAAGGATGATGGGTAAATTAATGTCTTCCGGGGGTTGGGGTTATGATCAGTTATTTGGGCAGAGAAATCGTTTCTCTCACGCAACATTGTGTCTCTTTGGGTAACAGGTGGACGCAGCGCGGCGAGAATAATTCTTAATCGATCAAAATGCAATAGCTAAATGCAAGATTTGGTATTCAAAAAGATTTCTAACTTACTGAAAATCTATGACAATGCTATTGAATCGACTTTTGAAAATGAAAATGAGCTACGGAATTGTGCTGAGTTAACAAGCTCTAGCCTTATTTACAGAGTTAACAAGCTCTACTTACCTTCCTTCAACTTGTTTATGTAATTTTATGACTCACCTTGTGAGTAATTAGCGTATTACTTCGACTGAACGTCTTCTCACAAACATCACACCGATATTTTTTCACATTTCCTCGACTTGTTGACTCTGTTGCATGTCCTCTTGTCAAGAGTTGATTTCGAGGTGAATCTAGAGATTCAGCTTTGAACTTTAACAACTTTTTACGATATCTTGAAATTAGTTCATTCTCTAGTTACGTAATAGGACAGCTGGTAGTATTGAGAGGAGAGGAAAGTCTTTGATGAAAGCCGATGAAAGCCGATGATGGGTCATGTTTGTATACTACGGTAGTCTTTTGGGGGATTCGAATGGATTCCTGGTATCCATTGCATAAAATAAACAATTCAAGCGAATTTGTTCAACATCATTCGACAAGCATTTGTTCAACATCATTCGAGTGGTTTAGGTAAGAAATTTGGAATAGAAAATGGTAGCATTGGGAGGGAAGCCTTTGATGAAAGCTTTGATGAAAGAGTTGTAAAAGTGTAAACTAAGACTCGAGATTTTTAGAGACTGAAGTCAAGCATTAAGTATATTATATAGATCTATAGATATATTATATAGATCTTAATGCAAGAAATCTCTAGATATACGATCTATAGATACCCAGATCATAGATCAATAGATTATATAGATCTATAGATATTTAATGTTATAAATCTATAGATATACGATCCATAGATATCTATAGATATTTATAAATCATATATCTAGAGATTACATAGATCTATAGATATTTAATGGTATAAATCTCTAGATATACGATCTATAGATCATAGATCTAGAGATTATATAGATCCATAGATATTTAATGGTATAAATCTATAGATATATGATCTATAGATATCTAGATCATAGATCAAACACTATTTAGTGCGCTTATGATGAGTTAAATCTATTACCCAACTCACCTTTTATCAAATTGAACCTTGAAAGTGTTGGAACGACGTGTTGTTGTGAAATTCTTGATTGAACGGCTGCAGTGAAAGAATTCAATTGAATAGCGGCTTGTTGCATTAATTGAACTCTTGCCAAATAAGCTCCAATTGGTGATCCAACTGTAGCCATGGTTCGCTAAAATCTCTGATTTTCTTTTAGTTTAGAATAAGTTTCGAAGTCCTGCTAAATCACCGTATTAAGAATAGAAATTTATTTGATTTTCTTCTTCGTTCTTATTGAAATTTAGGCTTTTCTCTTTTGAGAGAAAGATTGAATGGAGGCTTTTGTTTGAAAGTGAAAAGAAAAGAAGGGAAAGAGAAGCGGATCCGCTAAACTCTTTTGGCATTCTATAAGGCTTTGGATGGGCAGTTCACACCTTCACGACAGCTTCTGAATCATTCATTATGTGGAAATCGCTTCTCACTTTTAACTCTCTTTACCCAAACCTCAATTATATCTTTCTCGTGGGTGAAAAGATCAAAATTTCAAAGTAAACTAAAGGAAATTGAATTTGGGATATTAACAAAATAGTGTTTTAAAAGTTCTTTGAATCAAATGAGTTAAGGATTTGAATTAAGTAGCTTGTCCAAAGCTTGTCAAAAGCTTGTCAAAAGCTTGTCCAAAGCTTGTCCAAAGCTTGTCCAAAGCTTGTCCAAAGCTTGTCCAAAGCTTGTCCAAAGCTTGTCAAAAGCTTGTCCAAAGCTTGTCAAAAGCTTGTCAAAAGCTTGTCCAAAGCTTGTCAAAAGCTTGTCAAAAGCTTGTCAAAGCTTGTCCAAAGCTTGTCCAAAGCTTGTCCAAAGCTTGTCCAATGCCATCAATCATTGTCTTGACATTGAGCTGATAACATTAGTAACAATGTATTAGTTTTAAATGCTCAAATTAAACCTGCAATAGTGGAAATGCAGTCAAGAGTTGTGGTGGTTGAATTGAAGGAATCGCTTGCATCAACAAATCATTCGTTTTCTGTTTCTCGATCATTGATGCAACGATTTTATCCAAACGAGAGCTTTCCTCATGCTCACTTTCTCGTTCATTCTAAAACTTATTTAGTTTTATATCCTGCATTTCATTACCTTTTCCAAATCCTCCGATTCAGCGGTTGGATCAACGAGGGGACTGCCTTCAGTGGTTGATGATGAGCAAGGCTCATCCTCTTCAGAGAAAGATTCGTTTCTAAATTAATGATAAGTATTCTCATTCGTATATCCTTTTATTAACTTTGATTTATGATTCTAAAGATTTAAGGGAATATACCTCTTAGCCAAATCAAGACATGTCTCTTGAGTAGCGCTAACTGATGGACCAGTGAGAAGAGTATCGATAAGGAAACAAGATTTAGTTGTCATTCTGTAAGAATGATAAGAATTGATACAGTAGTTAACAAGTTAAACTTCTAAAGAAATTATTTTTGGTTAGAAAGTAAAGTTCTAAAGCAGAATCAAAGATTGATTTACTATCAACCATTGATTTACTTTTACTTTACTTTCTAAAGCAAAGTAAATCAATAAGACCTCTTAGTGAAGATTGAATGGAGGGCTTTTATATGAAAGTGAAAAGAAAAGAAGAAAAGAGAAGCGGATCCTAAATTCATTTAAGAAATAATACAGATCTAAGAAACATTTTATCCAAAGAAGTTCATTGACAATTTCGTTTTTCTTTCTTAAATCTATGACTGAAACGTAAACGAAATCTTACGCTTGCGTGCTTTTTCTCGTAAAGATATTTAGGTAGAAAAGGGAAAGCGCATCTTCCAAATAACTAGAAATTTCGGTGAGTTTCATTTTAGAAGACTAGATGTTTTTAAGATAAAAAATAATCGACTAGGTTAGACTAAGTAGATCTAACCCTGTCCTTTTCCAAATAAGCACTTTTCTTTGTGTACTGTCCTTTGTGTCTGTACTTACTTAATCCAGGCAACTAATACACCAATAACCAATACAAAATGCATAGCATTGCTTTAGCATTGCTTTGGCATTGCTTCGACGAGCGCATCAATTTGAACTCTTCCGATTCCTGCTTTTTCTCGTAAAGATATTTAGGTAGAAAAGGGAAAGCGCATCTTCCAAATAACTAGAAATTTCGGTGAGTTTGATTTTAGAAGACTAGATGTTTTTAAGATAAAAAATAATCGACTAGGTTAGATTAAGTAGATCTAGCTAATACTAATACTAATCTAGCTAATACTAATAAACTCCAAAAAAAGATAACGCTAGTATTTAATAGATATTTTTTGGAGCCTGGAATGAACTTTAGCTGGTAAATGGATTGGTTTGAAAATCAGGTAAGGAGTAAACTAGTGTTGTTGATTCGAAAAGCTCAGAGTTTCAAGCCAGGCTAGGTTAGACTAGGTTAGCCTAAATATATCTAACCCTGTCCTTTTCCAAATAATCACTTTTCTTTGTGTACTGTTCTTGTGTCTGTACTTACTTGATCCAGGCAACTAATACACCAATAACTAATACAAAATGATAGCTCCACCTTGATTTAACAGCTTTATTTTATAATTTTAACTAATAAACTCCAACAAAAGATAACGTTAGTATTTAAAAGATTTTTCGCCATTTTTGATAAGTATATTCATTCACTTTGGCATTGCTTTAGCATTGTTTTAGCATTGTTTTGGCATTGCTTTGGCATTGCTTCGGCGATTGCTTTGGCATTGCTTTGGCATTGCTTTAGCATTGCTTTAGCATTGCTTTGGCATTGCCTTAGCATTGCTTTGACATTGCTTTGGCATTGCTTCGGCATTGCTTTGGCATTGTTTTGGTATTGCTTTAGCATTGCTTTGGACGAGCGCATCAATTTGAACTCTTCCGATGCTTTTTCTCGTATAGATATTTAGGTAGAAAAGGGAAAGCGTCCAATTTCTAATCCAAAAAGTTTGATTTTCGAAAAATAAAATAGACTAGATGTTTTTAAGAAAAAAATAATCAACTATAGAATAATCTTAATTAGTAGAGACAAAATTTTGAATGGGATGAGCAGCAAAATGGAATTTTTATGGATATGGAGGATATGGAGGGGTGCATATAATAAAAAAAGCACACATAAAAGTCGGAGAAGAAAAGAATGTGAAAATGCAGACAAAATTAGACTATAGCAGTTTTTGTGAGCAGAATGAACTGGTATTGAGAGAATTTTCCCTGGATAAGTCATAAAAATTGTTTAAGATTGAAGGCAAAATTGGATCCTGGACAAAAGCTAAGTTCTTGCCTTATGACTTTTGCGAGCAAGGCTTGCAGTAAAGCCAGCCTTGTCCAGGTCAGCCTTGTCCAGGTCAGCCTTGTCCAGGTCAGCCTTGTCCAGGCCAGGCTAAACCAAGACAGGTCAGAACAGGACTGACCTGGCCTTTTGAACAACCCCAATCTTGAACTTAAAGAAGTTTCTAAAACAAAGACCAATGGGTTACTGTAATCGAAAGATTAGCTTATAAGGAAAAGGCATATGGGTGACAATTAGCTTTGGAGATGGAGAAGGGGAGAAGTCAAGAGCTACCGTAGGAGGGGCGGGCCAACCTCTCTCTTTCCTCTTTCCCTTTCCTTTCTCCAACCCATCCCAGATCTTGCCATTTTCTAGAGGAAAGATGAGAGGATTGGATTCGTTTCCGTTTCAACCGATGTCTCCATTATGGATAGAGATGAATGGGCTTGAAGAAGCTACAAACAATGATGGAGAGAACGAGATTGGGGCAAGATCTTGAAGTTGAAAAGGAAAACTGAAGGTTAATTTGGTTTTAGGTTTTAAAATGTTTTAGAATAACTTGGGGGAATTTTAGAAGGTTAACTGGGTTCAAGGAAACACAATTTTGAGATGGGAACAATGATTTGCTGTTAAAGCTTTGAGGAGTGTTTCGGGTTTTGAACCTGGAACACTAAAAGCCTAAATCCCAACAGGAAAATGTTTCAGTTTTTAGTGTTCCGGGGTCTAGCAAGTGTTTTCTCATTGAACAATGATTTCAAAAAGATTCTGTAAACGTTTGTTTGTCTTTACTTGGTCAACTATATCTTGCAAATCAACTATATCTTGAAAATCAAAAGTCAAACATAAGCATCTTAATCGATTTTGCACCAAAACAAGCTTGAAATGAACTTTTTTTTTGTTTGATTAGCTAGATTCATTGAACTGTCTTATGCTACTTTAGGCTGAAACCTTCCAAAAACCATGTTTATCTTGTCTTATTTGAAGCACTATGATGTGTTTCTATAATTGTATCATTTAACATTGCCATTTCCCGTCTGAATTACTCTCTCAATGTCGTGGCAATAATTCTTGTTACTCTATTTTACAATTCACAAGTTTCTAGATTGAAATAGAGATGGTGTCTACCTGCACGCATCACTGATTTATTAGGGATGAATATCGAAAGAAGAACGAGAGTGGAATGCCCGGATGGCCTAGTAAGGAGGGGGGATTGGCTCATTGAGGCATAATCTACTAAGGGGTTCAGTAGAATGGGGGAAAAGTGGAGTGATTTCTTGAGAAGCGTCACACGGACAAGTGGGCTTTAGGCCATTATCCTCATTTACTTGTTTTCTGTGCAATACTTAATCTTGGAATAAACTTTAGCTGGTAAATGGATTGGTTTGAAAATCAGGTAAGGAGTAAACTAGTGTTGTTGATTCGAAAAGTTCAGAGTTTCAAGCCAGGCTAGGTTAGACTAGGTTAGACTAAGTAGATCTAACCCTGTCCTTTTCCAAATAATCACTTTTCTTTGTGTACTGTTCTTGTGTCTGTACTTACTTGATTCAGGACTTTTGTTCAACCCAATCCAATCTTTATTCCTTTCTCATTGCAAAAATCCACACAAGGAATGGCAAGCAGTAAAGTGAATAGATAAATAATATTATCTAAATATCGCATCATCTGTATAAGCACCACATAGACGGAATTCTTTTTTGGAAAGTGATGCAAAAAGACGTTGAGGACAGAGACGAGATTGAGCACTTGGTCGAGGTACTAACCATCGCAAGACGTATTGACGTCTGAAAGTTAAATAAATTAAAACTATAACTCTAACTATAACTATAACTACCGTAAATACTGTAATAGTACCCCACCCCCATAATGACGGTGCAGAGTGTTGCGTAGTCTAACTTTGAACGAGTTTTTCCTGACACTGGTTTATGCTACAATGCGCGCTTAGGTATCAAAAAATAGCCCTGAATTTCAGCTATTTTTTGATACCAAAGACACATTTTTTGAAAGTACGGGCGCTTTGAAAAAAAATACTAAAAAACTTTTGCGACTACGCGACTGTACGGGGCGGTGGAGTACTATTACAGTATTTACGGTAGTTATCTTGTAGCTTTGCAATTACAACTATTATATTAGATTGAAAACTTGAAAGTTGATACACTTTTTCGTATTTTCCATAAAAAACATATTTAATACGCCAATTGAATTAGATTTCTCTAAACAAAAGTTATATAGGATCTAATTTAAGACAAGCTTAAGCAAATTTGGGTAACTTTTGAAACAAATTTGAGCAGTAATTCAAGGTTTTTCTTCAAATGGAACTACAACAAAAACGATTGATTATATTTAGCTGAAAAATTGGCTACTTATCTAACTCGTTATGCTCTTTCTTTTTCTTATTGACATCAAAATAGGTTTATGTGGAAGAAAGTGCTCAAATCGCTTCATCAAGTGTTCATCATTTTTGGGGTTCTCAACTTCTTGCCCCCTAAAAACCTACAAAATCGAAGCTTTTCTAAATCTGTTAAAAGCCTATTTCAGAGAATAAATGGGCCTTTTTATTGGTAAAAACTGTAGATTAATTGATGCAATAGTTATTTCTAAAAAGTGCAATAAATAAGTGTACCAACTTTCAAGTTGCCAATCTAATATCATGTGTAAAGTTTTTAGAATAACAGATTGTCCAGAAAAAAAAAGAACTACTGATTGTTTCCATTGTACTCGAGTTATTTTACTTTGTACACCTTAATCTATCAATCCAGGATTTAAAATCAATAAAATTCTATTGAAAAACCAACTTTGTAACATTCGGCTTTGATTTCTGCTTCGAATTAAGTATCAATTTTTGCATTGAATCTCCAACAAACTCGTTTGGTCCTCCAATAATCGGAACACCATGACTGATCACACAATCTTCAGGAATGTCTCTGAATTGATCTCTAATTATTGATTTCTTGATAATTATGTGACTAATTGTAAGTTATTGTAAGTCAAATAACTAGTGCTTCACTCACTTTATCAATTTCTCTTCTTCAATCAGCTTCAAGACAAATTCTTTTAAAGCCACCACATCTCGAGCTGGACCATTCTTTGCCTAAACATTTTCTATTAAAAATTAAACCCATTAAAACCATTGGTAGATCAAGAGCTGAGAATATCGCTTGATAGTGCAAGAGAATTGTCTCTATTCGTCTAATTTCTCTAGCCGCTTCGAGAAAATCGTCTCTAGATCCGGATCGACAAGCACGAATCGTTGAGAAGACGATCTTTTCTGGTTCAATCAATGAAAGCACTGGTTCAACTGAAAATTTAAAAAACTGTTCGCTGTTTACAGTTATAGTTAACTAGCCAATCTTAAACCTTACCTTCATTCAAGAGATATCTCACAGCTTGAGCGAAAACCACTGGCCTAATAAGCTCACTAATTTGACCGCATTTCGAACTCTCCAACCATGAAAGGATCTAAAATTTTAGCTGTATTTGATTTAAAAGCTATCTATCTTCTTGGTAATAACAATAAAATAAGCATCTTGCTTTCTTGAAGCTTTCTAGCGAATCAATTCATCCTTCTGCAATATTTTTAAGCAAAAAGATGCACTAGAAAGAATAGATTCATCAAAAAAAAAAATGCTCAGCTTTCTATAGGTTAAAAAAGATTTGTTTATTAAGAATATTGAATCTTTGAAAGTTTTAGATACCTCTTCAGCTCGTTTACTTTCATTAAAGAGTCGTTTTTGGTGTACAACGGGGACAGGCATAGAGTGTTCCCAACAATTGAGCCAAGAGTTCTCTGGGATCAGCATTCTTTCTGAGAGTTCCCATTTTCTCTCTAAAATTGTTAAAGTATTGTATCGAGTAAAATCATTGATTTCTGTACCTTCTTCATTCCAAATGATATCTTTAGGTGAGTGCCAACGGAGAAAATCTTCAAAAGAGCACCCAGGATTCGCAGCCTAAAATATTGAGAGAAATATCGAGAGAGTGATTGTAAATACAGTCGAACTTTGATACAAACAATTTGAAATGTGTCTAAAATTTCTGCGTAACCAAATGCAATCAGTGGCTGTCTAAGGTAGAAAATTTGAGGCACTTTTTAGGTTCATTAGATCAAAGTTCGACTGTATTGTAAATTCAAATATCAAAACATTAAATGAATCAAATCAAAAAGCACCTTAAAAGCCTGCATATCACTTTTGAGCATATCTGTTTGAGCTTCGGTTCTCTCTTGTCCATCTTCCAATGATGATAGATAATGAGCATGTTCTTCGATCATATCCTCTGTCATCGGTTCTCGATCCTAAAATATTCAAATAATATTTGAAGTGATAGAGAAGGGATAACCAACTTGTGTAATCGGTACATAAATCGGAATTTCCGGATGATCTTTTAGCATCATCTCTTCATCCAATAAACGAAGTCTTCCAAAAGGCTCAGTGCATTGGATTTGCTGAATTTGATGTTTAGAAGTTAAGTTTCCTATCTTGTTTCTTTTTGTGAAAGGTTACTTTTTAAAGTAAATATTAAAAGAATCGATTACCAATCATCTCTTAATCTTTTAAAAGTAAAAAATCACCTCTTCTCTCTGAGAATCATCTGAAAGATCCTCTTCTGCATCGAAAAATTCATCTAAAAGATAAATGACTTTGTTAAGAAACAGTTTTTTTTCCTTACCATTAGTAAAATTGTTGCAACTTTCATAAAGCGCATGTCTTTTTTTTCTTGCCGTAATACAACATTGAAGCATCTCGATTTTTTGATGTAGGAGACACATGGAAAGATCTGGATACTCTACAGAAGTCATTCTAAAACAATATTGATTGATGACAAAAATATCTCAAAAGCTTGACAAAAATAAAGAAGTTTTAAATTGATAAAAGTGCTCCAAAAGGATCAATAATTTTCTATTTGTAAGAAATTTTCATTAAAGAATTTAAATCCAATTTGTAATGTTGACAACAGCTCACCCAGGAATATCCTTATTGTTCTCGTAGAAGTAACGGAGTTTACGAACGAATTCGTACCACACCTAAAGGCAATTGATTACTTTAAACGTTACTTTAAATGACTTTAAACGATTACTTTAAACGTTACTTTAAATTACTTTAAACGATTAACCAGGTAATTAAATTGATCTAGATAGATTTAGGGAATAGATTTATAAATTTAACAAACCTGTGCAAACGTTGTCGGTCCATAGTTCGCTTTGACGAGAGAATGAGTGAAAGCATTGCCAAGTCTTGCCGTTACTGATCCTTCTGGAGCACTTTTAACCATCTTGAACTTCTTTTTTAACTAAAAAAACGAAACATTTACGATTTCCAATTGTTATTTACTTCTTCAACAATCTCTTTCTCCGTCTTTTTCTTATCGAAATGTTTCTCCTTAAGCTCCAAGCTTTGCATTTCATCATTTGGTGTCTCAGAGCGATTCTTCATAAAAATTTCGCCTATCCAATAGTTCATGATTTCCTAAAAAAGAAAAAAGTTCAAGAAATGGATTAACAAAATGTTTATTAAAGTTTACGTTTGGCAATGGTAGCAGTGGATCTTCAAGATTGAGTCCAGCTGGGTTAGTGAGTGATTGAGAGGCACCGATTCGAAGAGATCTCGATGAACCGGTCAGTCCATCAAAAGCACGAGCACCTAAAGTATTTTGTAGAAGTTTTGAATAGCTTTTAAAATTCTCTTCATTTACCAGAAGTTGGTGAATTCGTGTCAATTCCTAATAGAAGGGCAGCCGTTTCGAAGTGGAATTTTGAAATGGGTAAATCCAAGAGTTTGTGAAGGGCATCATCTATAAAATTTGATTAGAATGATAAAGTCTAGTTAAAAAAATAGCATATCTATCTTTTTATTTACTTAAAATCTAAACTTTATATTTAAAAGAGCAATCTTTTTCACCTAAAAATCGATCCACGTGGGTGAAATTGACTCGAGCCGACCAAGCAAACGCGCTCATCGGATCCAAATCGGAGAGAGTCTAAAAAAACACGATAGATTTGATTATTTTAAACTTTTAAGATTTTATTATACTATAATTAGATATTATATCTTTTTTTATAAACCAATTTTTATCTAATTTCAGCAAACAAAACTCACCTCATCCTCGTTGAGAATCTCCTCTTTCAAATTTGGCCACAAAGCAATCAGAACTAAGCTTCTAAATTTTGTACAATACTATAACACTCCTCTTTCAAATTTGGCCACAAAGCAATCAGAACTAAGCTTCTAAATTTTATACAATACTACAACACTCCTCTTTCAAATTTGGCCACAAAGAAATCAGAACTAAGCTTCTAAATTTTATACAATACTACAACACTCCTCTTTCAAATTTGGCCACAAAGAAATCAGAACTAAGCTTCTAAATTTTATACAATGCTACAACACTCAAAATTGCATTTCTAAAACTTATTTAGCTTTAAAAGTCATAAAATTCTTCTTTAAACGAAAACGAAAACGAACTTTATCGGGTTTAATTCAGATCCAAATGGAACGCGGCAAACATCGATGAGTTGATCGTCGTTCATCTCCGCACTAGTAATCTAAATTCAATTTTGATTCTAAAAAAATGTAAATCAAACTATCTAAACTATCTAAACTATTTAAACAATCTAAACAATAACAAATTTAAATTCAAATTCACCAATCCTCTATTTCTTTTTGATCTACCTTATGCGTGATCTCGATTTGCGCGGAGACTCGAATATCGCTAGCGTCGATCAGCGGGATTGGGCATTTCTAAAATTTCAATGAAAATTTCATTCCTAATCACTAAATTCGTAAACAATTAAAGATATAAACAAATAAACTCACTCACCACTTTCTCTTTAAACATTTGCAGTAAGCCAGATAGATGAGAATGTCTTGATTGACCGGCTTGGAGGTGAGCTCCCTAAAACAGGTTCATTTGATAAATTGATGAAGAAATATAATCTTTACCTCATACATAGTCACAGTCGATCGTGTGATTAAAACACCGTGATAAAGTTGTCGCTCAAGGCCACTATATTGTAGAAACATTGGGAGTTCACTGAATATTTCAATTACTAAGGTATTAACTTTACTTATTGAAATACTATTAATTATATCTTAATAATATTGTTAACCAAGGAAGGCTCATTTGATGTCATTTGTTCAGAATCTTTTCTGAAATCTCAATAAGGATTGTCATTAGTGGAATGAGTTATTTTGGGTTGAATGATGGGGTTGAGTTCTAAAAAAGAATGGGTCAAGCTCGAAAGTCTGCTGCAATCTAGTAACAAGTAAAGGAATTAGGCAATAAACAAGTAAATGATGAAATAAAAGAACCGAACTTGGCTTTTCAAGAATTCCAGAACCTTTTAAAGTCACTGAAGTTCCACTGAAGTCACATAAGTTCCACTGGGGAGGTCTACGTTTTCGCACAATCGAAGCCCCGCCCCTTTTTGCTGCGCACAGACGGACAGATGGTCTCTTCTGCTTTATATATAGTCGATTATATCTTATAATCGATATGTACTATAAAAGAGAGCTGTCTGTGTGTCTGTGTGTCTATCTGTCTGTCCGTCTGTCCGTCTGTCCGTCTGTCTGTCTGTTTGTCTAGGCCATGTTTTGACCAATAATGCTGAAACTTCTTTAGAGAATCTTAGAATATAATCTAGTTCTCATTTCAAATAAAAAAGTCAAAAGCTTAAGTCACTACGGGGCTCGAGCTGCTATAATCGTAGCTGCCAATATGTTCGTTCACTTACCAATCACATGATAGCGCCGCTATCCGAATCGCTGATATAATCGTATTCTTTTGATCCTCATTCACAATCTTATCATCTTCAGGATGCCAAGGAGAAAACACAATGTGCTCAGTCGCTGCATACTAAAATTATCTCATTTGATTTAATTTTATATTATCTACCATAGCCACAATATTATTTCTTGGATAAAAATCGGAGTCCGGAGAGGCAAGACCTAAAGAATGATAGCCAAGATGGGCGATGGAGCTAGTTGAAGGAGTGGGAAGTGCCTAGAATTGATCGAAAAATGTAAAATCTATTAAAAAAAAATGAAATTCTGATACACTAAATAGTTTTTCTTGCAATCACCTCTAAAGCCTCTTCAATATCCGGCCAGAAATGAGTGATTCGCAAATGATTTCCCTCACCGAATTGAATCTTCTCCGATTTTGAGTCCCATTTAGTGATCTAAACAAATCAAAAAAGATTTAAAGGATGTTTAGATGACACTTTGTTTTCTTACATTTGTTAATTTTGGTGGTCCAGGTCGAGTTTCTGTCCCAGAAAGGCCCCATTCATGTATAATCGCCTCAACAGAAACCACAAATTGTTCAAGTTCAGTAACGACAGTGAAATCGCTGATTTCAAAAATCTAAAAGTACCAAAAATCAAATGCTAAACTATAAAAATTATAGAATTTTTGTTGTTTTCATTTTTTTTTGCTTAGCAATTTTGAAATGGATCACCTCTTCACTGCCAGGAAACTCAGCGCCGGGTCGAAACTCTGGCGGCTCTGTGTTAGTCATAATTTGAAATTTTTCTAAAATTTTCTTTAACAAATTGATTTATGACTGATTTATGACTTCAATTCAATACTAAAATTATTTTTCCTGGTCTTGAACCAAATCTTTTATCAAACAACACCAAATGTACATTTATTCAACGATGAGTCAATTTTGAATCAGAATGCGAACGAGCGGCTAAGATTTCAGTGAGGAATAGAAATGGGAAATGGCGAGAATTTGGATTTGAGTGAATTGAGGATAAAGAGGCTAAATTTTATCGTTCATTGCTTCAACAAGGCTTTAATTTGATACTAGTAATCATTATACTAGTACTAGTAATCATTATTAGTAATCATCATACTTTACTTACAATTAGCTAAGCTAACATTGAATTTACTGAAGTTGAATGTTTTTAAACTAGTCAAATATTAAAAAAGTGAGGTTTATTGGGTCACTGGTAAAAGCTTTTAGCTTACAATAGCTAAAATAATCTTTACAATCGCTAAAATCTAAAATAATCTTTACAATAGCTTTTACTAAGGTAAATCTTTTAGAAATCGGTTTAACAATCGATTTAACAACTGCTTTTCAATCAAATCCAATCAAAAATCATAACATAAAAGAATCGACAATAAAAAGTGATGAGAAAATCGTAAAATTTATTTGTGTAAGGCTTGGCGAGGAGTCTCTCTGAGAAAGGAATGCTTGGCTTTCAACTTTTTTTAAAAAACAAAAACAATGACATGAATATTGCGTATAAGGAAATTATTTAACTATGACAAAACTTGGTTACACGTATTTTGGGGGGGAATTTTAAACGAATACTATTTACAGTAAAGAGTTAGAACTGGCAGATGAAGTAAATTTACATTTTGGACTAGTCCAAATTTTGGGAACCCTGAAATTATCTACAAAAAACTATTCATAAACTAGCGTAAATACTGTAATAGTACCCCACCCGTCCTCGTACAGTCGCGTAGTTGCAAAAGTGTTTTTTCGTATTTCATTTTTTTCAAAGCGCCTGTACTTTCAAAAAAATGTGTCTTTGGTATCAAAAAATAGCTGAAATTCAGGGCTATTTTTTGAGATCTAAGCGCACATTGTAGCATAAACCAGTGTCGAGAAAAACTCGTTCAAAGCTAGACTACGCAACACTCCGCATCGTCATTATCGAGGTGGGATACTATTACAGTATTTACGGTAGGTTATTAACAAGAATTTTCTCTAAAAACAACTTGAGAAAAGAAAAAAAAAGAGAAAGAGTTGATTAGGTGTAAATCACAAAAATTGAAAGAGAAATGAATACGGTAAGACTTCTAATAAAGACTTTGATGTACTTTGAGGTTTAAACACAACCCTTCTAGTGTACTCTGAGCTTTAAACATATCCTTTCTAGTGCACTGTGCTTTGACTTCTTATCATTTATGTTAAACAAGCTCTCTAAGACTTTAAGATAATGGATTTGACTATAAAAAAATGCATCAAGGTTTTGTTTAACTTTTAGCTTTCTGTTAGAAGTCTTACTGTATGGAAAGATTACGGTAGCTTATGTAGGATGTTGTGATGGTGGAATATCATCAACTTGACTGTCCAGTTCGGTCACTTGTGCGTGTGGACCAATTCGGATATGGCTTGATTCTAAACACTCACCACCGCGTTCCTTGTCGACTTTGTAGTAATAGAGATGACCTGTAATCAACTGTAAGTTACTGATAGTGTAAAGCTGTAGGTACTGTACAGATACTGTAAAGGTATTGATACTGTAAAGCTGTAGATACTGATACTGTAAAGCTGTAGATACTGATACTGTAAAGATTATAGTTAGATCAACTTCTTGAAACTGAATCTTCAAGGCTTTCTGGTTGACTTTATTTAAGAGAATACAGGAATAGTCTTTCATTCAAAATTCAATACCTTTTCTTATCTATCCCAGAAGAATTCGGCTTTCAATATCTATTTTTTCAAAACCGACTTACCATCAGCTGTGGCTACAACAAGAACCATTTCTTGTCCAATCGTTGGCAATGCAGCGTATGCTCGACTCTGTGTTGGTAGATGAGCCGTAGCGAAGGATTTCTCAAGTAACTGAAATTCAGTGTTAACAAAAAGATTCCAAAAATCTTTTACTTGTGCATTAGGAGGTAGATAAGAAGCAACAGTGGAAATCGCCCATGACATCCAACCCGAATAGGAATTGTCCTAAAATTTGGTAAACTTTTTCAGATTCAAGTTCTAAATGTTTCGATTTACGACAACTTACAGATATTGTCTGTGTTTCATCTGATTGATGTAGTTTGAAGATGTGAATCGTTTCAGTATTCGATGATGAGACAAGAAAAGACGAGTCGATTGAGAAAGCGAGTTGCGTGATGGTCACAGCTCGAGCCACTCCTCGTCGGAATTCCCATAATTTGTTCCATTGTTGATCCTAAAACAGGTTACTCAATTCCACCAGCGCTTCCATCAGTTCTTACCTTTTTCACAGAAAACACTCGAATGACAGTTCCTTTTTCGGAAGCTGTGGCAAGTTTATTGCCTTCGGAGTCTAATCGAATCGCCGCCAATCTGCTCTCATGTGCCGGGATTGTGAACATTGCCTTCATTACAGTAGCATCGAAAATATGAACCTAAACTTCTTCAATTAGATTTAAGATTGGATTTAAGATTGGATTTAAGATTGGATTTAAGATTGGGTTTAAGATTGGGTTTAAGATTGGATTCAAGCTTGGATTTAAGATTGGGTTTAAGATTGGGTTTAAGATTGGGTTTAAGATTGGGTTTTAGATTGGATTTAAGATTGGGTTTAAGATTGGATTTAAGATTGGGTTTAAGATTGGGTTTAAGATTGGGTTTAAGATTGGATTCAAGCTTGGATTCAAGATTGGATTTAAGTTGGTTTAAGTTGGGTATAAGTTGGTTTAGTTGGTTCAGATTGTTCAGCTTGGTTTAAGATTGGGTTTAAGTTTGGGTTTAAGATTGGATTTAAGATTGGATTCAAGATTGGATTCAATCTTGGATTCAAGATTGGATTCAATATTGAATTCAATCAATCTTCAATTCAATAAACGCAATTCAAAATCAAACAACTTTCAAATCTTACAGTTCCAGCCAGTGAATTCCCAGGATATACAAGAATCGAGTTGCCCAACGAAAGATCAAGAAGACCAGATTTATTCTCAAGTTCACCATCGATTGTATGCAATTGCTGAATGATATTAGAATATAGATATTCGTCGTATTTTGTACTCACTTTCATATCAGTAAGATTATAGATGTAGATCGCGTTTTCCAAACAGACCACCACCCGTTGTCGATTGACTTTGATGTTGAGAATGCTAAAAGTGAACAAAAAGATTTGTTTGTGTTGCTTGTCTAGATTCTATTTGTCTTCAATAATATCATATTCTAAAATAAAAATCTTCTAGAATAAAGCCCTTTTTTTTGCATTTTTCTAACCTGCTACTAAATCGTTGATCATGAATCGTTTTCCTATCATTCACATGTCGAACATGCATTGTTCGAGGTTCTTTCCTTGAGACAACCATCGCCAATCCTGAGCCAAGAAGTCGTTCCACAAGAATTGTCTGAAAAAACTTAAATAGAATTTTTTAAGATCATTTTTTCATTTATCAGAATCATCAATATATTAGAAAAAATTGAGAACACAACTCAAAGAACGGCTCAGTAAGGTATAAAGCCCTCTTCTGATGGCAGCCGTTCAGGTGACCCTTTAGCTCATTGGTAGAGTGTCCGCCGGATAGTCGGGAGGTCTCGGGTTCTAATCCCGATACTGACTTTTTGTCCTCAACCTAGGAAAGGACCGGTGTTGATGGTTTCAAATTTCAATGTCAATCAAATTTTCAGCAATTGTATGCTGAAGAGTTTTGACAAGGAAAATTTGCTTCAAGAATACATTGCTTTGAGAGATGGATTTGATGCATGTTCCACGGACTCAAAAATTTGAATTACAGAGTTGGTGGAAGATGCATCAAATCCATCTCTGTAATTCAAATTTTTCTTCTTTTACCTCAGGTTGTGTATTCCTGTGTTCAACGACGACTTTCTCCGTGTTCTTTGCAAGTGGATAGAATTCATATCCACCCTCGTGTCCAATAGCTAAGCATTGTGAATCCTAGAATATATTTAAACTTGTGATAAGCTCACATTTGATTAGCTTAAGTAAGAAAGAGGTCTAAAATTCTTATAATTAGTAAGAAACAAGGGTTTTTTTCAAGTTTTTTAGATACTTTTTCAGATACTTTTTCTTAAAAATTGATAAGAATTTAGATTATATTTATCTATTTTGAAATTATCATACAAATTCCTCTACCTGATTGAAAGTAATCGCTGTCAGCTCTTTACCCGTATCATCTGACATTCTGAAAACAAAATATTATTAAGAAATCATAATAATTTTCATAAGAAATCGATTTTTAAAGGAAATTTTGGCAAATTTTGACAAATTTTGACAAAATTTTCTTTGTTTTCTCCAAAAACTCAAAAACTGATAAGGTTAAGCGTTTTGAAATTTTCCCTAGAGTTTCCCTAATCAATTCTCATCAAAAAAAAAAATTCTTTTAATAAATTACACAAGTAAACATCAGCTGATTTGCATGAGGGAAGATTTTTTGAGAGATCGTAGTGAAGGGATCGTGGTGAGACCGGGAAATCATTTGAAAGGAAACGATTTTAAAGCTTTGTAAAGAAAGAAAAAGGATTTTCTGTAAAGAAATGATTGAAACTTTGGTTTAAAATTGATTTGATTGATCATTGATTAATCTTAATCGAGTTACAAAAAGGAATTTCACTTTTTAGTGCTAAATTTTGAAGTAAATCAATCGATTTTGAAGGAAATTTCATTGTTTTCGGTTTTTTCAAGTTTAAAGAACTTTTTCTTAGCTAAATGCTTGAGAAATTGGTTAGAAATATTTAGAAATTCGATTTCTAACATTTATATTTATAAAAGCTATATAATTGATTAAAAATTTAAGAGATTTAAACGATATTTTCAATGAAATAAATGTCTGAACAAGTCGATTTACAATAAGGTAGCTTTTTTTGTAATTATACTATTGGGTTGAGGGAAAAGTCCTTCCCGATTTTTTGGGAGAGTACCTTAAATTTGTCGAATTTTGACGACGTTTTATAGCTCATCCTAAAGCTGAATTCAAGACGGATCGATTGGTAAAAACAGTTTTGAGATTCTTACACAATCCTTTGACCTTTCAAACCTATTGGGTTGATGGAAAAGTCCTTCCCGATTTTTTGGGAGAGTACCTTAAATTTGTCGTATTTTGACGACGTTTTATAGCTCATCCTAAAGCCGAATTCAAGACGGATCGATTGGTAAAAACCGTTTTGAGATATCTCTTTTCTAAAAGTTTTTACAGCTATTTTAGTAAAGGGCGGCAGAGCCAAAAAAAGGGCTGTTTTCACGTTTCGTTAGTTTTCCGTGCAGAAACCTAGGCTAAAAACATGTGTTTCGTGATCGGCGTCAAAAATAACCCCTAGACACGCATGTTCAGAATCTTAGCAATAGACACCAGCGACATTCAACCGAAAACTCAATGCCGCACAGGCTCATCGAGAGATTACTGACGTTTATGGACCCGATTTTGTTTATGGACCCGAAACAGGTGTCGCTGGTGCTCCTTCGATTTTCAGAATCTTGAATTCAGCTTTAGGATGAGCTATAAAACGTCAAAATTGGACAAATTTAAGGTACTCTCTCAAAAAATCGGAAAGGACTTTTCCATCAACCCAATAGGTTTGAAAGGTCAAAGGATTGTGTAAGAATCTCAAAACTGTTTTTACCAATCGATCCGTCTTGAATTCAGCTTTAGGATGAGCTATAAAACGTCAGAATTCGACAAATTTAAGGTACTCTCCCAAAAAATCGGAAAGGACTTTTCCATCAACCCAATATATTTATACTCGTTTACGGATCGATTTATATAAGAAATTTATATTAGATTTCTAGATTTTATAGGTTTTCTAGCGTTTATATTGAAATAATTTCTAAAATTTATCAAAAAACAAACACTAACCCACGATTCGGATATCGTAAAAGTTGAGCGCCGTAAACGAGCGATTGGAAGCCGGTATGAAGAAATTCTTTGTAATTGTTGAATGAATATTGAGTTGAATCCATCAAAATTCGATGATTTTGATTGATCTGAAAGATTTGATTTGAAAAGATTTCAAAAACATGGCAATGAATAAGAAAAATCGATCGATATTGGGTAATTATCGATTACAAACCCGGAAAGGTAACAAATTAACATTGCATTGCATTTAATTGCATCATACTGGTTTCATTTTTTGAGTAAATGACAAAAGAAGTCTTTTGTTCATATGCTTTATGCAAATAAGTTAACTCCCCTGGAGTAAGAGAAGCAAATCAAAAATATGTGCACTGCAGGGACTCGAACCCGCGACCTTCCGCTTACCAAGCAACCGTGCTACCCATTACACTACAACGCAGTTGGTTTCCTTCGCTCTAGAGGGAGTTAACTCCCTCCTCTCTGAAAGTTAACTCCCTTCTCTCTGGAACTTAAGTCTCTCTCGAGTAAAGGTGATCTGGTGGCTCGTGGTATAATGGTTAGCACAGTTGCGTGCCAAGTGAAAGGTCACGGGTTCGAGTCCCGGTGGGGCACGAGTTTTTGATCTGCCCTTATTTCAACTAATTTTGCTATTGGGTTGATGCATAATTATCCGGACTTCTTTTATAAATGATTTTATTTAACAAAAAATAACATAAATAGTTAGAAAAATATGTTTCATTGATTATTCTGGAGCATATTCACCGCCTACATCAATAACTGATTGCCATTTGCTTGGAAGACGATCGATTCCACGAGCGAAGAATAAACGATCTTTGGAGGCAATCCACGCTTTAACATCGTCTATCAAGTCATCCAAATCGTTGTAGATCTTATTTGTTTGCCAATTTTTGAGCGATCGATTGACGTGGTAGTCCGTTGGGGCTTCTCCAGTTCTTTGAGATCGCGAAACGACTCTGCGGCAGACCATCCCTTTTCGAAGTGGTAGAGCATGATATGGCGAAGATGGATATGATTGTCGACACGCATTTTGTTCACTAAAGAATAACGAATATTTAAAAAAAAGAAATAGACAAAAAGCTTTCAAAACAAAAAAGATACAAGCACGCAAAAAGAAGTCCGGATAATTATGCATCAACCCAATATTTTGTTTCTCCGGCGTGTAATTGGTAAGTATTCGATATTGAATTTTCATATATCAGTACTGTTTACAATTGTGTTGAAAGTTAAAAGAATCTTTCAAAAATTAAGTTTTTAAGCTTTTTTCTTTGAGTTTTAACACCGTAAAAGCTCTAGAATTTTTGAAATTTAAGTAAGACGTTTAAGTAATAATAGTTTTAAGCAATAGTAATAAGTTGATCGATTTTCAAAAGAAAAAAATTGCATTTAGTTAAAAAAGAAGTAAACAAATATGATTTAAATTTAAGAAAAATCAAAATTTAATCAGAAAACAAATCTAATTTTGCTAAAAACATCTTTTGATTTGTTAAAAAAATGACCAAAAATAGTCAGAAATGGATACGTGTTGAAATTGGCGTCAAAAGTGGCGACACCCGGGGTGATTGCACGAGAAAAAAAATAGGGAAAAGGGGGAATGAAATGATCTTTAGTGCAGCACTCGTGATCACTAAAGAGAAAAAAGGATTGAAAAGAAAAACAACAAAAATAGGTGAAAACATGAGATGAAATTGCACTTTTTCTAGAGAGAATGCTTGAGAATTAATCCAAAACCAAAATTGATTGATTAGATCGAGTTATTTTTATTATTAGCTTGGTAAATAGGAAAGGTGAAAGGTTTTACAAAAAATATTGCCTTGTCGTTACGAAGAACGTTTGCTTTCTAGAATTTTCCTCAATAATATGTCAAAATGTGCTCATGTTTTTTTTGCAAAAACATTTTTGTTTTGAACAATATTTGTATTGTTGGATAATGGATGCAAAGATGGATAACCAAAAATTTAAAATCAGGGCCGCCATTTTCTTTGAATTCAAGTTAAACAAGAAAGCTACGGAATGCCATCAGAACATTTGTACTGTTTTTGGAGAAGCTGCTCTTACTTACAAACAATGTTGTGTTTGGTACGATCGCTTCAAAACGGGAGACGAGTCATTGGAAGATGCACCACATGGAAAGTCACCGATTACTTTGGACGATCAGCTGTTCCTGAACGAGGTCGACTTGCATCTATCGCAAAAGTGTAGAAAATTAGCAGAAAAGTTCGGATGCACTCATGTTACCATTGAAAACCATTTACACGTTCTTGGGAAATCATATCGAAGCGGGAAATGGCTCCCCCACGACCTCACTGATGCCCACAAAGCCATACGAGTCACCCTGAGCTCTTTTCTTCTACGCAAAGCTCACCATCGTGACTTTTGGAAGTATTTTTTGACATCTGATGAGACTTGGCTTCCGTATGAAAACGTTCAACTCCATGGACAGTGGCTGAGTTCGAAGCAGACCCTTCATCCAATCTCGAAACCTCCGATACATATTCGCTGGGGGCGATTAAATACAATGTTTTTCTGGGATAAACAATTCGAAGCCTATTGAATCAGTCAAAAGTATCGTTTCTGAGAACGATTGAAGATGCGATGGAAAGAACATTGGTGAACACTAGTTCCCTTTTAACAAATGAACATTTTGGTTTAAGAATTGAAAGTTCATAGAGAGCTTTTGAGAGCTTTTGAACTGATGATAATTTTAGAAATAAGCAAAGTTAAAATGAACTTTTTCAATTGTTACACTTTATATTATTATTCAATTTCTGTGTCAGTAGAAAGTTTCAATCAATTCACAATGTTTTTGACTTTCTTATCGCTTTTTTTTCTTATAGAAAATATGACGCAAGAAAAAGAAATGAATAGATTAATCAATTTAATTCTCAGAGTTTTCATTGATTCACAAATAGATTCTCAAAGCTTCCATTGATTCCAAAATTTGCTCATCCTTTTGACAACCTTCGATAAACTCGGCTCTTGTAATTTTCCCGTCTTTGTTCACGTCAAGAGACTGAAAAGAGAATTATTTATTCTTTAAGATATTGTTGAACAGTTGATTGATATATAGAAGTGAGTAGAATTCGAAGGGGGGATTGAACCCTTGACCTTTTGCTTTTGCAATTGCTTTAACCAGTAAGCTATTCGGTACCTTAACTTGTTAAAAGAAAGGGAGGGAGGGAAGAAGAAGGAAGGAAAGAAGAAGGAAGGAAAGAAGAAGGAAAGGAAAGAAGAAGGAAAGGAAAGAAGGAGGAAAGGAAAGAAGAAGGAAAGGAAAGAAGGAGGAAAGGAAAGAAGAAGGAAAGGAAAGAAGGAGGAAGGAAAGAAGAAGGAAAGGAAAGAAGAAAGAGGAAAGAAGGAAAGGAAAGGACTTGTTAAAAGAGGGAAAGATAAGGCTGAATAAGATGATAAAGTGATAATTTTAATGGCTTAAAAGTGTAACTTAAACTGGAACTATTGACAAACAGTAATATTTGCAATATCGGTGTCAATTTTGACATGTCATTGATAAGAGAAATTTTGAAATTCCAATGTGGACAAAGTTTTTGTTTTTCTTAGCCCAAACCTGAAATTGATGCTTCAGATGGCGTTTCACCGACGGCGGAATGTGTTTCTCTTTCCAATAGTGAACACCAACTACCGCGTACATTGCTCTGAAACAAGTATCGCTATGGGCGACTGGTTGGGAGCCTTGTATCTTAATCAGAAGGTCGGGGGTCAATCTGGCTTTTTGTCTGACTGACTGGCTTTTTGTTTCTTTTTTCTCGTCCTTTAGAGCTTAAAGGTCGTGCTTTTATATTGTTTATACCACACCAGCAAAACAACAGAACAGCACTTCAGAAATTTAAAAAATGATTGCCAGAAACGAATTCCTTGTGTTGAAAAATACAAATTTCTACATAAAATGAGAATTGCATCGATGGCGCAGTGGATAGCGCGCTCGCCTCCCGACTCACATGACCCGGGTTCGACCCCGGCCAGTAACCACCTACTTTGTCTTTTTGCAAAAATTTTTTTAAAATCCACAACTACATGAAATTTTATTAGACATGTGTTTTAGCGTTTTTTAAAATACTTAAAGAGGACGATTCCAGGCAATCATTTAGCTGAAAAGATAGACAAAGATTATTCTTTTGAATAAATAGTAAAAAAAGGTTTTTTCTTAAAAAGAAATCTTATAGATTATTAAAACTTACAAAGCGACTTTCTGATAATCATCTTCTGTAATGTATTCTCTTCTTTTTGTATCATAAAGATCAAAAACCCAATCAAGTCTTTCTTCAATCGTTCCTTTACTGAACATTGAAAGTTCTTGAGCAAATTCCTAAACGAATAAAGAAAATGATAAAGAGGAAAATCATTTATTTATACTTAAAGCCAGAATTTTTAACCTTTTTAACTTAAAAAAGTACTTTTTAGAGAGTAATTTACCGAAAAACTGATTCTCCCATTGTTGTCATCATCAAAAGTGTTAAAAACGAGATGAGCATAAGTACCTGGATCTAAAAAATGAGAGAAAACAATGAATAAAATTATCTAATTTGAAATTTTATAAATGAAACATTAAAAAAAAGGCGGGTAGTCAAAACAGCGCCATAAAATAGAAAACGTTCAAAACAGCGCCGTCAAATTTCTCAAAATCCAAAAAACCAAGCCGGTTCAAGTTTTATACCAAAAAATTCCTTGTGTTCTTGGCTACATGATGGGTGAAACAGTTTTTAAAAAAAGTTAATATTTCATAGATAAAAAGAGCACTCAAAATGGGTCTCTAAAGATATTCAGTTAACCAACAGCTAAAGATATTCAGTTAACCAACTGAGTATCACTCGACACACATTTTGAGTGCTCTTTTTATCGATGAAATATTAACTTTTTTTAAAAAACTGTTTCACCCATCATGTAGCCAAGAACGCAAGGAATTTTTTGGTATAAAACTTGAACCGGCTTGGTTTTTTGGATTTTGAGAAATTTGACGCCGCTGTTTTGAACGTTTTCTATTATGGCGCTGTTTTGACTACCCCCCAAAAAAAACCCACCAGACAATCGTTGCATACTAAAGAATTGACGAAAAATCATAACAAATTGCTCTCGAGTTACATAGCCAGAAGGACAATTCTTAAATAGTTTTTAAAGTGTTATTAAGTTTTTCTTTAGATTCTTTTACTAGATTTATTTTTACTTTAAAACAAACTTGTTTAAAACATTGATAAAGATATTTGAGTTCTTTCCTTGTAAACGATGTCTCTTTCATTAAAAGATCGAGACTTTCTGGAATAAAGCGCTCTTTTTGTGCATCCATTTCGTCGGTAATCGCTTGTTCGATATTCGATTCTGAATTTAATTCTGAATTTGAATAATTTTCAATTCTATCTCAATTTAAACTAATCTACGAATTCGAGATTTCGATTTGGAATATTTTAAACGCCATTTTCAAATGTACAGTATTGGACAATGAAATATGATATTTGAAAAACGATCGTCACTTTCGCGCGCCGGTAACTCCGTTGTCTTTGAGTTTAAACTATTAGTGTTATACATTTTCTGAAAGCTCTTTTCAAGGGCTACACAATGGTAATATTAATATTTAGAAATACGGTTAAACGATATTTTCAATGAAATAGATGTCTGAAAAAGTCGACTTACAATAAGGTAGCTTTTTTTTGTATTTATACTATATTTATACTCGTTTACAGATCGATTTATATAACAAATTTATATTAGATTTCTGGATTTTATAGGTTTTCTAGCATTTACAGTACTGGACAATGAAATATGATATTTGAAAAAACGATCGTCACTTTCGCGCGCCTGTAATTCCCTTGTCTTTACCGTATTTCTAAATATTAATATTACCATTGTGTAGCCCTTGAAAAGAGCTTTCAGAAAATGTATAACACTAATAGTTTAAACTCAAAGACAAGGGAGTTACAGACGCGCGAAAGTGACGATCGTTTTTCGAATATCATATTTCATTGTCCAGTACTGTACCAACGAACTTTAAAGCACCGTCGCTATGGCTTGATGTAGCCTAAGCCATTGTCCATTGTCCAGTACTGTACTTTGTGATGAAAAGATGAAAAGAAACTCTTGAAAAGAAAATTTAGAACATCAAATCTTTAATTATTACTGTAAGACTTTAAAAATAATCTATAAATTTAAAAAAACAATGGAACGTTCCGAATATTTCAATATTTCAACGCGAAACTTTAGCAGAAAGATAAATCGATTACGAGGATTCCAAATCTGTAATCCGCTTTGGTTGACCGACCTTGGTGTTCGAGATATAAGCGTGTAAAGTTTTGACAACAAAAAGTTTTGACAAAAAGCTGAACGAATGGTTTCTCGAATCGGAGAACGGCTGGCAAATGGATGCTCAACTGGAAAAAGGTGGAGCCACGAGGATCATCGAGATCGCTCCAGAAAGGACATCAAGCTTTACGCAACGCATGGTATGTCTTTTATATTAGTATTAATTAGCGCATAAGACCTCCCCGTCAGGAAAAAACGGATTAAAAATTTGGAATCCTCGTAATCGATTTATCTTTGTGCTAAAGTTTCGCGTTGAAATGTCACGGTCGGTTCTGAATCTTCGCTTGTAAGCTATGAATCTTTAAACTAAGCTAAAAAAACTTTAAACTAAGCTATAAATCTTTAAAAGTAAGCTATAAATCTTTGAAAGTAATCTATAAATCTTTAAAACTAAGTTATAAATGTTGAAACTCAGCTATAAATCTAAATCCCAACCTTCTATAAGAATGCTGACTTACTTTGTGTACTTTGTGTACTTTGTGCTCGGAATTGAAAAAGATTGAAGTGGTGGAATTGAGCCTGCGAGCAAAGATGTCATAGGTTTTGTAGACTAACGCATTATCCACTAGATCACCGCTACTCTTCCTTCCCCTCAACGTGGTGCTGTTTTATAGGCAGTTTGGCAAAATTTGTCAAAACTTTGCACGCTTGTATCTCGAACGCCAAGGTCCGTCAGGAAAAACGGATTAAAAATCTGGAATCCTCGTAATCGATTTATCTTTGTGCTAAAGTTTCGCGTTGAAATGTCACGGTCGGTTCTGAATGTTCCCTTGTAAGCTATAAATCTTTAAACTAAGCTATAAATCTAAATCGCAACCTTCTATTAGAATGCTGACTTGCTTTGTGTACTTTGTGCTCGGAAAAATGTTGTAAACACTCTTTCTGGCACACTGAACTTTTATATAAATATAATACGCGAGATGCTTGTTTGTGAGCTCAAAGTACACAGAAAAATCGCTGAACCTCTGCTCGAGAATAGCGACATTCTTCTCGACACTTTTCTCATCGATTTCGTTGCGAATTGACCCATTTTGTCAAGCATTAAGAATAAATTTAGAAAATAAATATATTTCTTATAGCTAGTTAGCTTTGTAGAAAGAGAAAAGCAAGCGGTTGTTTGAGAGAAAACGGTTGTAAGATGGAGACTATCAAATTCCATCCCCATCTCTGCTCTCTTTTCTTTCTCTCTTTAAGAGCTTAGAAACTTTTAAAAGATTTAATATTTCTTTTAAAAAGAATCTTTTTTTTATATTAAACCTTTAAAATAGATTTTCAAATTTCTTCAAAAAACCGGAGTAAAATTATTCAATAACCATACTTACGCCACACCCTGTACTGATGTTGAATGCTGTAATCATACTTACGCCGCACCCTGTACTGATGTTGAATGCTGTACCATACTTATGCCGCACCCTGTACTGATGTTGAATGCTGTAACCATACTTACGCCACACCCTGTGCTGATGTTGAATGCTGTAACCATACTTACGCCACACCCTGTACTGATGTTTCTTTGTTCTTATCCCAATATTGATTATCAAATTTACTTTAAAAAACAAGTAAATATTCACAAATAATCATGTAAAATAATCCGTGATTAGAATGAGAATCAATTAAAACAAAACAAAAATGAAGAAGTGAAAAGAACCAGATTCAGATTCGAGAAAATCCCGTAAAATTGGTAAACAAAAATGAGATTTCAACAGATAAGGGTAAAAAATGAAGAGGTAAGCACAGAATACTAATGATTTCTTTAAAAAATTCGATTAGATTCGAGATTCGAGTTTGAAATATTTGAAAAAATGCGTGTTCAATCTTACCTGAGACTAGATGATAATGCACAAAAGTTTGAAAAATAGAAAGAAGAAAAAGAAAACTGAATACAATATTGCTTTAATTATTTAATAGGTAACTTTATAACAAATACTTAAACATAAATCATCTTTGCCCAATTGGATCTTCAGGTGGAATCTCACTTCTCACATTTGTCTCCAGATCGTGCAGTGTCCTGGAAATAAGAATTCACTTTTCAAGCCATTTTATATGTAATACTTTGACAAGAAATCCTTGTTAAAACCTCATGATTAGAATGTATCGTATTATGATTAGCTTTCTCAATCTTATGATTCTCAAGAATCCTTATGATGACTTGGATGTTAATGAAGTGTCGTGACGGATGAATATTAAATCTAGCCTCTTATGATTAGCTTCTCAATCTTGTGACTCATGAATTCTTATGATGACTTGGATCTGAATGGAGTATCGTGACGGATGAATATTAAATCTAGCCTCTTATGATTAGCTTCTCAATCTTATGATTCTCATGAATTCTTATGATGACTTGGATGTTAATGGAGTGTCGTGATGGACTTTTTATAATGAATCTCAAATCAAGCCTTGTTTAGCTTCTCAATCTTATGATTCTCAAGAATTCTTATGATGACTTGGATGTTAATGAAGTGTCGTGACGGATGAATATTAAATCTAGCCTCTTATGATTAGCTTCTCAATCTTGTGACTCATGAATTCTTATGATGACTTGGATCTGAATGGAGTATCGTGACGGATGAATATTAAATCTAGCCTCTTATGATTAGCTTCTCAATCTTATGATTCTCATGAATTCTTATGATGACTTGGATCTTAATAGAGTGTCGTGATGGACTTTTTTATAATGAATCTCAAATCAAGCCTCTTATGATTAGCCTCTCAAAATCTTATGATAATTTTCATGAATTCTTATGACCACTCGGATCTTGATGGAGTGTCGTCATGGACTTCTTATGATGAATCTCAAATCAAGCCTCTTATGATTAGCTTCTCAATCTTATGATTCTCATGAATTCTTATGACCACTCGGATCTGAATGGAGTATCGTGACGGACTTTTTATAATGAATCTCAAATCAGGCCTCTTCAATACTTCAATGACAATAAGAAAATAAAGCTATGTCAAAAGAAAAGTGTTTGATTTTCGATAAAGAAAGCCGATATTAGTAGTTGGAACTAAGGCAGATCAAAAACGTATCCCCGCGACTCGAACCCGCGACCTTCCGCTTACGAGGCAACCGTGCTAACCATTACACCACAACGGCTTAGATTGTGCGGCTTTCAACTTTTTCAGCAAGTTTTCTATTCGAACCTGTTCCCATTCTCTTCCATTTGAATCTCGTCTTTTATCCGATGATTAATCAATGCTGTTTCATCTTTTAAATCAACATCCATTATTGCGACACTTTCTAAAGAAATAATATAAGAAAGAATAAAAATTTCTATGATTACCTGAAACAGATCTTGCTCTTGTCACTAAATCTTTTCTCTTTTTCCGATCAGATTTCGCTTTTTTTATGCCATTGATTCGTTGAAAGATTAGCCAAGAAACGGCTAGTACAGCTGCCTGAAAAACAATCAAAATTTTAATTTTACTCTAGTGATTTGATGTGATTTGAGTTTCTTTACCTCAAAAATTAAGAGTACTGCACAATTTGTAGAGACGATATGTTGATTGATGAAAAGCCAATCAGCAAACGCTTCATAGCAACCCTAGAATGTTATTTGCAACTCTAGAATGTTATTTCAAAAGTTTACATTTTGATAAATATATGGAGCATTTGGATGTTTTCCACAACCACGAATATCCGCTTCCATATGATCAAAAGCCGCCTCTTTACAACACGAATCGGGCACATAACGATTTTTTGGCCAACGATTGTTGAAATGCCAATCCGATGGGCCATCAATGCCGCAGCATTGAAGCTAAAATGGTAGTTTGGAGAAGGTTAGCTTTGTGCTAAACACGGTTAAGGTTTTGGTCGAGTTTAAAATCAGGTAATAGCCGGTAATCGTTGTTAACCTAGACTCGAAAAAGAAAGATGCTTTGTGCCGAAACGGTACTTAAGCACTACTGTAAAGTAGAACTTGAAAATTTACAGCAATTTCTCTCAGAATCACGGTAATCTGTCGGAAAATTACGACAAACTGGCTCAAAGCTCACGGTAAACTGTCTTAAAATTACAAAAATCTCTCTAATCTTACGGTAAACTGTCTTAAAATTACAAAAATCTCTCTAATCTTACGGTAAACTATCTTAGAATTACAAAAATCTGTCTGAAGATTACAAAAAATTGTCTCAAATTACGGCAAACTGTCTTAGAATCATAAAAAGCTGTCTTAAAATTACAAAAAAGTGTCGCATCTTACGGTAAATTGCCTCAATCCAGTAACTTTTTCTCATCAAGATCAAAAGCCTTAGTAAAAAAAGTCTCAGAACGAGCCTGTCTCCATCTTTTTTTATCGGAAAACTTAAATCTACTACTGCTTTAGACTGTCTTTAGACATTTTACCAGAAACTTTTTAAACCTAGAACTCATTCAGATAAAAGATATCACTAATCTCTTTCAGCTTTTCATTTTTTTTTTACTATCTTTCTATTAGGTTGGCAAGTTATAAACGATCGTTTTTGGGTAATGTGTTCTCTGAAAAAAACGGCTTATCCAATCAAAAAACGGTTTGCTTTGGTTTGGCGATTTGTGCCTCGTTGGAGATTGGAAATATCCTTACCGCTTTTCCCCTCCAAATCCCGATCTTTCGCCTCCTCTTCAAAACGGGAGTCTTCCACCGAAATTTCGTCACCATTTTCATGTACACCGCTTTTTTCTTTTTAACTAGCAACTTGTCGAGAAACAATCCAATCGATTCAGAACAATCCAATCGATCGAACCGTTCTCTTTCTTTTAATCTTTCTTTTTTTAATATTGCTTAAATTCAAACGAAAATGGATTAAATTAGCACAAAAGTGCATTTTGAGCCTAATTTGAAAATCAACCTTCCGAAGATTGGATTGTTCTGAAATTTTTGGCAAACTATGTAATCGATGAAGCGTTTTATTTTAAAAAGCATGCAATCACTCAAAAATATATTAGCTCATCAGAGAACGGTTGGATCGATTGGATTGTTCTGAACAGTTCGATCGATTGGATCGTTCTGAACAGTTCGATCGATTGGATTGTTCTGAACAGTTCGATCGATTGGATTGTTCTGAACGGTTGGATCGATTGGATTGTTCTGAAATTTTTGGGAGACTATGTAATCGATGAAGCGTTTTATTTTAAAAAGTATGCAATCACTCAAAAATATATTAGCTCATGAATGCTAGAAATCAGGATTTTGATAAAACATTTTTCAAACAAATAAAACATTTTTCAACAAATTCAAAAAAGCCATTTTGTAGATTAAGAATAGGGCTTTTGAATGAAGCAAACCGTTTTTTGATTGGATAAGCCGTTTTTTTTCAGCAAAACACATTACCCAAAAACGATCGTTTATAACTTGCCAACCTAATATATTCAGAGAACTCACACTTCTTTGTAAATGACTCCACGACAGAGTGATATTCATCTCTTGCCCATTTCTCGTTTTAATACTTTGCAATTTGATATGTTGCTTCATGTCTTGTTTAATCTGCTCGCGAACACCTTGCTGAAAAGTATTGATGAATATTGATGAGAGATTGTTTGAAATGGATAAACCTTTGTGTAAAAACCGAAAAAGCCGACAACCAGTTGGATCGTGATGAGAAAACCGACAAAAACGATGTACTGAAGGATTAATTGAATGAATTAAGTCCAATTTTGATTTCTTTACAAAACTTACAGTGATTATAAGCTTTTTGCTTTGCGCGTTAACACCGTAGATGCCCACAATGACGATGACGCAAATGACAAGGCCTGGAATGAAAATTGAAGTGTACAAAATTGTAAGTGGTAGTGTAAGTAGTACATTTAAGTAACATTTTTCCAGTTTTACCTGAGAATACACAAAAGCCGGCACTACTTAAAGGAGCATATCCAGCTGGGGTCAACTCCAAGAAATCGTCTCTCTCTTTGAACAACCAAATCCCAGTCACCACTGAAGCTACTCCAAGAATCTAAACAAATTTATTATCTTCTATCTCTTATTAGGTTTATGAAAAGTTGCAGAGAATTCAATTATTCAATGACATAATGTTTTTTCTTAGTTTTATTATAAAAACACTTTAGTTTATTGCTCAGATTCTCACTTAAATTAAATAGATTTCTTTTCTTTTCTTTGTCAAATAAAATGCTTATAAATTTTTACCAAATAACAACTGTTAATCAACATAAAAATCGTGTCAAGGTGATGCTTTGGGTGAATATCCTCCCATTTCATTGCCTTGATTCGCTCACGAATTGTCATTGCCGCTTCTCTCGCGTAGTATTTCTAAAAGGAGATAAGTAGATAAGTAGATATAAAATAACTTTAAAGTAACTTTAAAGTAATAATATTTTTTTAAAGTAAATTGGTCAGTGAAGGTCATTTGTTGTGTGGTTATTCTCTTCATCTTTCGCAGGGAATTGTGACGCGTAGCGGTACGCGTTGCACCAAAAGGGTCATCTTGGCAAAAGAAAAAGAGTGACCAAGAGAAAAGTCAGTTTACTTTTTTTCTTGCATCCAAATAGAAAAAGTCTTTTTGACGGGCAAGTTCATCTGTTTGAATACAAGACTATGGATGTTCAAAAATGAAAAAAGCAAGGATATTGCAAGTTATATACGGTTCTGATTTCCGGGATATATCAAGGATAGCAAGGATATATCAAGTTTGCTAGCCATTTTCTTAGCGGTGGTGATTCTAAACTTTTAAACCCTATTATATATAACAAAAAAATATGGCTCTTCTCCTTTGTTAAAATATATTTTTGAAGTAAAGTCATTTGTTGTGTGGTTGTTCTCTTCGTCTTTTGCAGGGATTTATCGTGACGCGCGGTGGGGGATCACATCATGCCAAAAGGGTCATCTTGGCAAAAGAAAAAGAGTGACCAAGAGAAAAGTCAGTTTGCTTTTTTCTCTTGCAAAAGTGCATCCAAATAGAAAAAGTTCAAATAGTCATCCAAAAAGAAAAAGAAAAAGCAATTTCATCTGTATGAATACAAAACTATGGGTGTTCAAAACTGAAAAAAGGCAAAGATATATCAAGTTTGCTAGCCATTTTCTTAGCGTCATAAGAACGATGGTGGTTTGACTAAATCAAAACCAATATTTACTACTTTGAACACAACAACTCTTTGAAAATCATTTAGTATAGAAATTTCACGTTTTTTTTTCTTGCAAAAGTGCATCTAAATAGAAAGTTTTTTGTCGGGGAAGTTCATCTGTTTGAATACAAAACTATGGGTGTTCAAAACTGGAAAAAAGGCAAAGATATATCAAGTTTGCTAGCCATTTTCTTAGCGGTGGTGATTCTAAGCTTTTAAACCCTACTATAGATAGTAAAAAATATGGTTCTTCTCCTTGTTCAAATATATTTTAAAGGAAATAATATTTTTTGAAGTAAAGTTATTTGTTGTGTGATTGTTCTCTTCGTCTTTTGCAGAGATTTATCAAGTCGGGAGTCAAGTCAATCTATTATAATATAAAAATTGACACATGACGCGCGGTGGGGGATCACATCATGCCAAAAGGGTCATCTTGGCAAAAGAAAAAGAGTGACCAAGAGAAAAGTCAGTTCACTTTTTTCTCTTGCAAAAGTGCATCCAAATAGAAAAAGTTCAAATAGTCATCCAAAAAGAAAAAGAAAAAGCAAGTTCATCTTTATGAATACAAAACTATGGGTGTTCAAAACTGAAAAAAAGTAAAGATATATCAAGTTTGTTAGCCATTTTCTTAGTGGTGGTGATTCTAAACTTTTAAACCCTACTATAGATAGTAAAAAAATATGGCTCTTCTCTTTGTTAAAATATATTTTAAAGCATATAATATTTTTGAAGTAAAGTTATTTGTTGTGTGGGTGTTCTCTTCGTCTTTTACAGAGATTTATCGTGAGGATCACAGTGAGGGATCACATCATGCCAAACGGGTCATCTTGAAAAAAGAAAAGAAAAAAATGACCAAGAGAAAAATCAGTTTACCTTTTTTCTTGCAAAAGTGCATCCAAATAGAAAAGTTTTTTTGTCGGGGAAGTTCATCTGTTTGAATACAAGACTATGGATGTTCAAAACTTTAAAAAAGCAAGAATATATCAGATCCAAGTTTTTCGGAGATCTGTTCCACAAGGTTTCTGGTCTATTTTGAATCAATTCTAGCTCTATACGGTTCTGATTTCCGGGATATGACTTTTTATCCAGAATTTCCGATCCAATCTTTGTCTGAACTCCATTCGAAAGTCAAGTCAATCTATTGGAATCGTGGAATCGATCGTCTTCCAAGCAAATGGCAATCAGTTATTGATGTAGGCGGTGAATATGCTCCAGAATAATCAATTAAACATATTTTTCTAACTATTTATGTTATTTTTTGTTAAATAAAATCATTTATAAAAGAAGTCCGGATAATTATGCATCAACCCAATACTATAATCTAAAAATTGACGCGTGACGCGCGGTGGGGGATCACATCATGCCAAACGGGTCATCTTGACAAAAGAAAAGAAAAAAAATGACCCAGAGAAAAGTCAGTTTACCTTTTTTTCTTGCAAAAGTGCATCCAAATAGAAAAGTTTTTTGTCGAAGAAAAGTCGAGAAATGTAAACCTATCAAGGGGAAATTTGATGTGATTTGCAAAGAATTTCTTTTCATTTAAAGGATTACTTTTTAAATTTTAAAAAAGCAAATCTTTAGTCTAGAGGTTTACTTTAAAATTTAAAGTTAAAGTTAAATTTGGTACTTTTGTGGTTGGAGGGGGGCCATCAATCTCTTTGAGATTTTCTCTTCTTCCGCGCTAATCGCTGAGCGCTGATCGACGAATTTCGCATTTTTTAACCATAGATTTACCCTTAAAAAAGTGGCTTATGATCTCAAAAGATTTAGTTACAGTTTAATCGCGCATGGTTCGGGGTTACGTGTTTTTGCCGTTGGTGCCGAAGGGAGTCGAACCGTGGAGCAGTAGTTTGATAGTCTAACGTACTACCCCCTAGGCCGCAGCTCCTTGTACCCTGTCGGCGTGGCAACCTCTTATAGGTGAGGTGAGAGTTTGCCGAAAATGTCCAAAACTTTGCATGCGCTTTTCTCGAAAGCCAGGATCCGTGGGCAAAAACAAAATCCAGCATCGGATTTGTTATGTTCGATAGGCGTTTGCATCTCATCGCTATTTATAAGTCTCAAACCCTTTTTGGACTATTCTCTTGTAAGAACTAATCTTTTGGTTACTCTATAATGCATAAAAGTTAGCAAAAGTAATTGTTTCAATAGCAAGGTTAGATCATGTTTTAATGACAGATTTTTTTTATTGTTTAAGTGGCTTTAAAAGTGTTATGAAGTGGCTTTGGAAAGTGTAAATGAAGTTATGTCAAATTTGATTATCGTTTTGTTGGTTCTTTAAATTTTAAAACTCACCATTGACTTTGGTTCTAGTAGAATTTGTATTGAAGGCATCTGAAAGTAGAAATAAATCTTTTGTAAATAAATAAATAAAATAAATGTAAACTGAAAGGTTTAAAACTAGAACAAAGAAAACGAAGGTATCAAAATCTAGTCAAAAGTCAATGACCGCAAAATGAAGCTAGGTCTTGCTTGGGACAGCTTTAGCTCTATGATGACGACCATTAGACGATTATCGAAAAGTTTGATGAATTTATAAAGACTCGAAAAACTCGAAAACAAAGAACTCAACTTGGGAAAGCTGTCATTTTCTATAAAAACGCTTTCATCAGGGGGTAATTTGAAGTGGGCTCTTTTTTTCGGATGTGAAAAGCGTTTCTAATGACGAGAGTTGAAAAAGAATAAAAATGGAGCTTTAAAAGGCTTTTCATCTAAATACACTCAATTAACCCGGAAGCATTAACGCTTTTTGTAGGGATTTGATGAAAAACTCTATCACAAAGCCATTAAGGACTTCGTTTTTAAAGCTAGAAATGCATCAAGTCTTCCTCAAGTCTTCCCCAAGACTTCCTCAAGTCTTCCTCAAGTCTTTCTCAAGTCTCCCTCAAGACTTTCTCAAGTCTTCCTCAAGTCTCCCTCAAGACTTTCTCAAGTCTTCCTCAAGTCTCCCTCAAGACTTTCTCAAGTCTTCCTCAAGTCTCCCTCAAGACTTTCTCAAGTCTTCCTCAAGTCTCCCTCAAGACTTTCTCAAGTCTTCCTCAAGTCTCCCTCAAGACTTTCTCAAGTCTTCCTCAAGTCTCCCTCAAGACTTTCTCAAGTCTTCCTCAAGTCCCCCTCAAGACTTTCTCAAGTCTTCCTCAAGTCTCCCTCAAGACTTTCTCAAGTCTTCCTCAAGTCTTTCTCAAGTCTTCCCCAAGTCCTTCTCAAGTCTTCCTCAAGTCTCCCTCAAGACTTTCTCAAGTCTTCCTCAAGTCTTCCTCAAGTCTTCCTCAAGTCTTTCTCAAGTCTTCCTCAAGACTTTACACCAGAAGAAGTGCGTTTTCTATTTAGCTACAAAATTATTGACATGTACAAGATTAATATAAAAATTTCTAAGACAAAGTGTAAAAAAAGCTTTGTTAATAGCTTTGTTAATAGAATTCTTCAGCTTGAAAAGGGTTAATGAACAAATTGGTGCATTAAAATAAGGCAAGTTCATCAAAATGTTCATTAAAAACTATGCGAGTATGATTTTCATTGAAGGTGAGAAGTTGAGATAAAGTTTTAGAAGTAAAAGTGTTTAAAAATCAAATCAAATCAATAATCACAGTACGATTTAATGCAAATAACAATCAGAATTTGCGAAATCAATTCTTTTTTTCAATACTTTAACCATAGAACACTGCAATTTGGACAAAATGGAAATAGAAACAAGTTGTCATTAGTAAAAAGAAGATGGTAAAGATGGAGAACAATTTAATGACTTTAAAATGCCTTTAAAATGCCTTTAAACCTTGAAATCTTTTCCCAAAATTTTAGAGAAGACTCAAGTCTAAAGTTTGACTTTCAAAAAAGTGAAAAAGCTGGGTTTTCAGAAATTCTAGACATGAATATTTTATAGAATTTTCTGCCGAAATTGCTGAAACACAAGGATCAATGAGAATTCTAGAATCAATTGATGAATTTAACAATCAACAATCAATTTATTGTTTTCTTATGCGTGGGTAGAAAAAAAGAATCATTTCACAGGTGTTTTTTTGAAAAGAAAACATTTTTGACGATGTATTCACGAAGAAAACGCTAATGATGTATTCATTCACGAATTTTTAATGAGTGAATGCTTTTCGGACAAAAGGAAAGAGAAAAGACAAAAAGAAATCGGTAGCAGAGTGGTTTAGTGCGTGATCTTTCTAATTATTTACTAAATAACCAGATTTGAGTTGACAAAAAACGGATAATCTTACAATCTTACAAGCACAACTTAACTCAGCTTCACTACAAGCATCGGATTGACAGCCCTGAATTGATTCAAAGAAATAAAAGTATCAGATTATTATATATGTCGTAGCCGTTTACGAATGAGGGTACTTCCGGGCATCCAATCAAAAAGTCATCACCATAAAAAATGTTTATAATACATATATTTTATAATAAATTTTTGAAATTAGCTCATTTGGTTCGGTAGAAAAATTTTTTTGATCCCCAAAGTTTAGGCTCAAAAATGCCTTAAAATGGCTATAAAAAAGTTTCTATTCAACCAAAAAACTTGCCTAATAGCTCATTTTTTAGCCAATTTGATGTAGATTCTTAAAGTAAAGCCATCTGAAACAATTTTTCGTTGAAAGTAGGAGAAAGAGAGCAAAGAGCAAATGTGAAAACAGCGACCGAGTTCAACTGAAGTCGTTCCTCGCCCTCTTTCACCTAGCTTTGAAAAACAAATGTCCAATGTAGCTTTACTTTACAAATCTACAGTTGATAGTTGATCACTATTTACAGCTTTCAAAGTTTTCACAGAAGCTCAATACTCAAATTCCCCACAAGATCTCATCGTCAGCTATTGGGTTGAGGAGAATGAGTCGACGCCTTTGTTAAATGACTTTGTCAAATGATATGCGTTTGATATCCGTAGAAGGGTAACCAATTCTCTACAAAATAATATTTAAAAGAGAACTCAAACAGCGCCTCAACTCAACAAAGGATCATTTTTTTCACAAAATCGATAAACTGTCATCTAGAGTAAACGGTTGGAGGGATCTTCCTGAAAATTTGGTAACTTATGTAATTGAGTGTGCTCTATCTTTTTTATATAAACACCAAAGGAGGTTTATGTGGAAGAAAACTGTTCAAGCAATGAGTCGGACTTTTTGTCATTTTGATTAGCTGTGTTTGGGAATCCATAAAATCCCAAAAAAAGAAAAGCTTTTTGTGGAATCTCTCAAAAGCCATTTTGTAAAGAAATAGTGGACCATTTTGATGAAACAAAACGTGTATTTAAAGAAGGTTTTATGGGTGCAAAAAGTTTCTTTAAATTTCGGCGCCGACTCATTCTCCCCAACCCAATACATTTTCCGACCTCACATCGATCGGTTCTGATAAGCGGCTCTCGAGATTTCGAGCAATTCGACAACGCTCAGGGTGCAATATTATTAGAGTAAATATTAGTTGTCAAAGATATAGATTCTTATTGTTAATCAAGTGACAAATTCTAAACAGTTAAGCCGGTTTCGACTTATTTTACTTAGAGTTTTATTAAATTACGCTTGAAACAGCAAATATTGGGTTACTCGATAAACGAATTTATTTATTAACCCGTATTATCTCTAATAGTAGTACACCCTGACGAGCCGAGTTGATGACTATTTTACGGCTTCCAAAGTTTTCACAGAAGCTCAACCTTCTAATCCCCCACTAGATCTCATTGTCAGCTACATTTTCCGACCCCACATCGATAGGTTCTAATAAGCGGTTCTCGAGATTTCGAGTAATTTAGGCGAAGCTCTGGGTGCACTACTATTAGAGAGCATACGGTAGCTTAAAAGTATCTCTGTAAGTAGTTTCAAAGCGTGTATTTTGCTAATGTCCACGTGGTTTAGATATCGTATTCTCTCTAATAGTAGTGCACCCCACCGAGCCGACTTGATGACTATTTTACGGTTTCCAAGGTTTCATAGAAGCTCAACACTCAAATCCCCCACTAGATCTCATCGTCAGCTACATTTTCCGACCACACATCGATAGGTTCTGATAAGCGCTTTTTGAGATTTCGAGCAATTTAGGCAAAGCTCTGGAGAAACTACTATTAGAGAAAATACGGGATCTTATTTAAAACCTTTACCAACTTGTAAACAAATCCTAATTATGATTCTATTGATTATTTGAATCTCTATTGCTTCTATTCGCCTCTGAATAAAGCATACCGTATTTTCTCTAATAGTAGTGCACCTCGGCGAGCCGAGTTGGTGACGATTTTACGGCTTTCAAAGTTTTCACAGAAGCTCAACACTCAAATCCCCGACAAGATCTCATCGTCAGCTACATTTTCCGACCCCACATCGATAGGTTCTGATAAGTGGTTCTCGGGATTTCGAGTAATTTAGGCAATGCTCAAGGTGCACTACTATTAAAGAGAATACGGTATCAAAATCTAGTCAAAAGTCAATGACCGCAAAATGAAGCTAGGTCTTGCTTGGGACAGCTTTAGCTCTATGATGACGACCATTAGACGACTCAATGCTCAATCAAGCAAAGTTCCGGTAGGGAAAAAAGTTGACAAGAAAGGAAAAACTTAAGAACTTAAGAAAAACTTAAGAACAAGACTAAAGTTACTATTCAAAAGATAAAAGCTAAAAGGTAAAGCCATCAAGTACTTTTAGCTACAGTAACCCTGAGCCGTAATCTACTAGACATGTCCAATTTCGAGTTTTGGCGGCCGGGTCGGGTCAGCGGGTCATCCGGGAAAAAAAGCCGGGTCGTGGGTCGGGTCAGCGGGTCACTTTTGACCCGACCCGATCCGATCCGACCCGACCCGACCCGACCCGCTGCCCATGTCTATAATCTACCGTAATCCATTGACCAGTAAATCTAATAAACAGTATTCTTGTACTTAAAAAAAACATTAAATTGTATGAAGCAAGAGAAAATAGACTGCTCAGTATAAACTTTGAAAGTTTATGTTTTCCTATTCCATGTGAAAAGCCCATTTGAGGCTGAAAAGCGAACATTTCAGCGAGCTCTAAAGCAATCAGATTTATTAGAGTATAATATATTAGAGTATAATATAATAATAAATCTGATACATCTTTTAATCAATTCAGAGCTGTCAATCTGTGGTGAAGCTGAGTTAAGTTGTGCTTGTAAGATTGTATTATCCATTTTTTTCAACTCAAATTTAGTTATTTAGTAGATAATTAGAAAGATCACGCATTAAACTACTCTGCTACTGATTTCTTTAGATAGTTTTGAGTTTTCTAGCCTTTGTAGATATTGTAGAGCTTTCAATATTTGAGCGTTGCCTAAATTACTCGAAATCTCGAGAACTGATTATCAGAACCTATCAATGTGGGGTTGGAAAATGT